GACGCCAGCCCTCTCGATACGATGGTGGGTGGCCGTTCAGCCCCGGCAGTGACCGGGGGCGCTGGTGGCTCGCGTTGTCAGCAGCCAAGCTACTGTATGGCGGCGAAACAATGAAACCATGGCCACGATAGGACGGCATTCTACCGACTTGTGTCAACCACAGGACTCCTTAGGGCTTGCCGTGGTTACACGGCAAATAGTACACTCCCCTGCCCTTTTCTGGGAAATACTAGTACAAGTAAACTGAAATCGATATGTGGCACCCGAGTATAGTAGTCAGCCAAGGTAGAAGACGCCATCGGGCTTGATTCTAGTACAGTAGCGGGTGGCTAGATCAACGAAAGTCAGACACCCGGGGCCTGCTTTACGGAGCCAGGGGGGATGAGTTGCGGCACCAGCCATGGACAGGTCCGGGTCGCTTGCATCGCCTGCTCCAGGCAAGGAGGAGCTCCAGCAAGGCACAGGCGGGCTAAGGCTCGCTCCCGGCAGCTGTAGATAGAGGCAAGATGCGTCCTAGTGCATCATCTCGAGGCAGAGCAAAGCATTCGCGCAGAATGGAGCGGCACTATGAGCACACGCCAGATTCCTTGTATATGCCTCAACGCTGCCTGGATCGCTGGATCAAACCCCTCGCAGAATAACGACGGCTTCGACGGATGAGCGTGGCTGGCTTGGGGGAGCCGCTAGAGATTTGCTCCCCCACAAGACGCGAACGAAAGAGAACAGAAAAGAACAGTGGCGCCAGGACCCAGTGCCCTGCCACGCATCGAGAGATTACGAAAGAGGAACAGTAGTCACGTGATGATGATTGCGAGCCTAAAATAAGGTAGATGGTAGCGTGGGAGGGTGGCTCAGGATCAAGATACAGGTCATATCTTGCATTCGGCTTTTTTTTTTTGCAGCCTTTGTTACATAAGCAGGCAGGGCCCCTCTCGGAGCCGTGCAGGCGCGATACTGCAAGCCCACAAGCCACTCAAAACACGTGTATTTTGCTTGATTTCCCCCCTCAGGAGGCGAGTGGCAGCAAACACGCTTGCTTACGCTCATGGCTTGTTCCGTGCTACAGTCCGTACAAGTACAAGCCGGTTCTCACCGGCACCGACAGCAGAAATTGTCTGAGCTGGCTGCCCGTTTGGTGGAGAAGGGCACCCAGACAGTGGGGAGCGATGCGACACATCCAGCGCCAGCAAACCACTGAGACGCTGCGCGAACAGCAGACCGTACATGTACAGGCCAGGCACAGCATGCAGCAGTACGTGCCAGTGGGCTGTGGGCTGTGTGCAGTGCAAGCAGCATCATCATCTCGTCTCGTAGCATTACGGAGCAGTCGGACAGTACCTTTATAGTAGGGGGGCCATGCGCGCTGACGATGGATTCGAGGAGTTGCGTTCGGTGGACGCCAAAGCACCGGTAGCCGCGTTTCGCTCGGACCGCCAGGCGATGCGGCGGCGGTCTAGGCGGTGCGTTTCCCAGGCGCTAAGGCCAGACAGCAGACAGCAGCAGCCAGGCCAGCCCCTGGTCCTCTTTTTTATTCCCCTCTCGAGCCTCGCCGCGGCGCCGTGTCTGCACCCCTGCCGTGTCGCGCTGCTGCAAGCAGGCACTATGGACAAGTGCGAGTCGCCGCTACGAGCACTAGCAGCGCCGCCTAGCACGGTTGCGTGTTAGCACCGCTCTATCCATTCTTCTCGCGGCTCCACCCCATCACATCAATCTCCCTGACGAGAAAAGAAGCTCTCCAGCTCTTAGCCGCATCCACTCTCACCACTGTGGAGCCGCCAGGTGGACACCTCCTGAGCCTGCTGCTCAACACTCTGACGTGCCACGGTCAGCCGCCGACGGATCTGGCCATCTGGGGCGTTTCCTAGCCGTAGTCCCCTGCCTTTTGCTTGGCTCAGCAACGGGCGCGATTGCGTGTGGAGCCCATTCCCCAGGATGCTCACAAGCCCTGAAGGCGGCAAAAAGCAGCACGCACAACGAACGGCGGCCGTCGCCAGTCTGCCAGTCCAGTCCAGTCCAGCCCAGTCAGAGATTGCTCCAGGACCGCTCTCCCACCATGCTGGCCCGATGGCCGCTTTGCCATGGCCCATCCGATTGTCTCCCGGGCTAATGCGAGGCGTTGTCAAGCGGCGCGTTCGCAAATCACGATGATACCAAGGCGTCATGCATCGGGAGGCTTCCTTTCAGCGCCATTGGCAGTATTTAAGCAAATCGCAGCGCAGCACGGCATGGCGCAGCACGCAGCCTCAAAAAGCATGCTGCATGGCATGGCATGGCTCTTACTTGCCTACCTGCAATGGCCGTCTGTAGCCAGTGCTCTCAGAAAATACGAGTATATCATGCATTCATCTTGTGAGCAGCCCTGGCTAGCACTGTTCCGTACTAGCCGGCCGGCTGGCTGAGCTGATGCCTTGCCAGTTTCATCTGGCGGCCGCAAATCCCTCCCCCATCGCGAGGTCGCCAGATTCCCGCCGCCGGGTCTTCGCTTGTGCGAGGTACGTACCTTTCAACGGCCTGGGTGAGTACGGCTACACGGAGCTACGAGACCTGGGAGCGCAGGGCCTGCAGTCAGAGACTCGTGCTGGTAGCTTGAGGCCTTGTGCTGCTCTGCACCATGATTTGGTTCATTCACCTTCGGATCCTCGCACAAGGACAGAGGGCAGTTGTGGTTGCACACAAAGCGCTCCAGCGGCACGTTGCTCTGCTGCACCCCTTTTGGCTCCGGCGGCGGCGCCCTTGGATTTCGTCATTTAGGTGACCTGTCTCTATTGGCACCTGTGCCAGGCTGCACACGCGCCCCCCCTGCGAGGAAAAAACAATGGGAAGAGACGAACGATGGCAAGGCCAGTGTAACCAAGAAAGGCACTCTGCTGAGCCTGCTGAGCGAGAGGCGATCTGGATATGGCGTTCGTTTTAGCGTTACTACCCTGGAAACCTCCCACGATTCACTGCAATCTGCTTCCAACTTGGTCACCGTACTGTGTTTACAACAGCATTGATCTGGCAATCCACGGAGCTGCGCCAAACAGGTAGGTATTAGGAGGGCGCAGCGCCAGCGCTTCTGTGCTCGGACGCGGCCACGACTCGCGGGATTCCATCGTGTCTCATCATCAGGCCAGATGGAAGCTGAGCGAAAATAGCCGCTTGGCTAGCACCCTCTCGGCCAGGTCCGCTACATACGCTACAGTACGCCCAACGATTAACCCCGGAGAGGCCTCTGCCGGAAACCACTCCACCCCCTCAACTGGCGCCAGGGGGTCAAGGTGAAAGGCGGACATGGAGAGACGGTGGTGGATATAGCAGTACACACACAGCTGTGTCTTAGACCGAGTTCGTGATACTACCTGTACATGTGCTTTCCGCCTGTCAAGAGCCGCTGCAAACCATAGCACAGCGCCCAGACACACTTGATGCTACCAAATGCGATTCACCTGCGCTAGATATCTGCGGTGGGATGTTGGGCTCGGTTTGATAGGCAGTTGGTACATAGAGCCACTTGGGCTTTATTAAACAGAAACAAGGCCTGACATCCTAACCACCCACCTCAGCCTAGCTTCTTTGTCGTTATCACCTACCTACATGTCTGCAGTATAGATGGGCAGCGGCCGTAGCCCTCCTGATCCTCCGATTGCTTGAAAAAAAAAAAACAAGCAAAGCGACCTTGGAAACAGAAGCAAGCCACATTGTCACCCCCTTGCTCCATCCGGGGTGCTACTCTGTACGGAGGACAGCGGCTTTTATGCAGTCTCATCGTCATTCCACTGCATCGGACCGCATCGGTTTTTGCTGTAGTATGTATGAATGTAGGATTGATAATATCCCTGCAGAGGTAGTTGCTAATATCAAGCTATATATGTACATGTAGGTCCTGTTTCAGAATTCTCTATCTGTGCTCCTGGCAGCGGTCTTTGGCCGGCCAGAAAGATTAGCTGGTTCCCGGTTGGAGGGGTTTTACGATGGACGAAATCTCAAGGGTATACATATAGGTATGTATATACTTATAATAACATAGTACATGACGATAAGTAAGGGGGTTCTCGCGTGGGTTTCAGCCGTGCATGGTGACGCTGCCTTCTTGTACACTTATTTTCGATGATTCTTCTCGACTGCTATTCCGGGTAGGTAGCTGTAGGATCTCATCTTCGCCCCAAGCTGAGCATCCAAAAAGCGCCAGGCTCCAGGAAAGACGAGGAGGAATTTACCGCTCGAGTGGGTTGAGGTGGAGGTAAAAGCTGGTTGTCGATCAGCTGAGCTGATTGGACTAAAAGAGGGAACGGAATAGTGTTGCGACTCTCCATCAAAGATTGCCACCGCCTTGCATGTTCCTCTCGTCTTCCCCACGTTGGGTCTTGTCTCACATATGACATCGTATACTGATCTACCCATGCGAAAAATACCACGGCTTGTTAAATGATGTATGTGGAGAGCTGTCATCTCAAGACATTAGCGCATGCAGATTCTATTGCAACCACGCAAATCAAGATAAAGACGAGAGCAGATGCCATCTGAAAGACGCAGGGGGGTTAGACTTAGTATATGACATGAAGCAATCACGGTAAACGATATATTTTTCTTGTACCTTTCCTTGTTCTTTTTCTTCAAACTTTTCTGGAGTCTGAGGTTTTTAGCTCTTGACGTCAAAGATTCTCAGGCAAAAACAGTCGTCAATCATTTACGTCCCAGGGCGAGGCCCCTCGAGTTACAGAAGGGTATATATTTTCAATGGATGTATTATCGCTTCAACACAGCTGATGAAATAAAACATGACTCATTAGTTCATGTGCCGACTAGACAATTAACCCCAGGATCCATGACAACACCGGGCGCCAACTTACTATCCATCAATCCAACCCGCTATCCTCGCATATCATTACAATCATTTAATCCGTGACCAGAGTCCCTCTTCCTGACCTTCGCCTGGAAAACACCAAGGCGCCGCCAATATCACCCATGTCATTGTAGTATCAAACAAACAAAGATGCGGCCCCACCCTAGACACTCTCCTATGAACCATCTTCTTCCGGCTCAAACTTGGTCTCGCCAAGCATGGGCCCTGGCTCAGACTTCATAGCCGTTTGAGCACTTGATTGAGGCTGAACCTGCACAGGTGGGCCGCTCGGCTGAGCAGGAGCCGGTGGCGGGGCCTGTGAGGATTGCCGGGCAGCAGCAGTTGCGGCATTCAGCCTCTGGTCCAGCGCCTTTAATGCGATAGCCCTTCTTCTCTCGGCTTCGGCACGGGCACTCCCTGGTGCTCCTCTGTGCTGGAAGCCATCGCGCCCTGTAGTTATGCCTCGCTGCGATGATGGTTTGCAGAGTCGAATCGCGACAAGGATGTTGTAGATTTGATCTGAAAGTGCAGCCACGGCGGGCTTGATGGGGCCGGGGAAGAATTCGGCAAAGGCGAATGTTTCACTGGCATCTCCACGTAGCGACGCCGGTTGAGCTGAATCAAGATCGGGGAAGACGACCTTGAAGAATCGTAGATAGGTCCAGCTGACAAGGAAGCTGTAGTTGGCTAGCCAAAGAGCAGCGCGTGATAGCAGCGGAGTAAACGAGAGTACGGTGACGACGCCAATATAGATGAGGGGGATTCTTGGGACTCGGAGCGAAACGATGCCTCGGAATAGTGTGACCGTATGCGCTGGGATGAGTTGGCTGAAGGCGACAAGGAAAGCGATCTGGATAGGAATGGTACCGCCGATAATCGTAAGTCTGCAAAGAGAAATATGGTTAGTAGTAGTCCCTAAGTAAACAGTGGCGTATATAAAAGTATAAACTCACGTCCAGTCGGTGTTCCTAGTCAAGGTAAAGAAAAAGATCATGGTGAAAAAGGTGAGGACGTTTGGAACCAGGGTCACGAGCAGAAGGAATTTGGCCAGGTCTGCCGAAGACCAAGCTCTCTCCAGATACCGGCCGCCATGGTATAGAGTCACGGCGCCCAAGCCGAATGTAAAGATGTTGCCCTCAACCAACGAAGCCGTCAGAAACGTCCAGGGGTAGGCAATAGACAGCTGCGGGATGAGCGTCAGGTACGGTATCACAATGTCCGTATCCTCGGCCCACTGGCGATATCTAATCGCGGCGCTCAGGACAGACTGGAAGAGCAGAGTGCCGAGCAGAGCTCGTGTTACTGGCGGGAGATTTATTCGCGGGGCCATGGCGACGGGGATGCGAGATGCGGGATGGTGGATGGTGATATCGCGGGGGGTTCTTTTTTTTTTCAAGGTGTCATTTGAGCCGGGGTTTGTGAAGGATCCAAGCCGGCGCACGAGGAAGAGAAAGAAGACGGTTGAGAATATGGCAAAGGGCACAACGAGAGGGTTGTTGTCCTCTTTTGCGCGCTCAGAGCTACGGGCGTGTGATCTGCTTGTGGCTTGTGCTCAACGTGAAAGCCTCCATGCTAGGGATGCCACAATATGCGAAGGGATCAGCCGAATCGGGTTATGCCGACAAGTGGTGGAGTGTTTGCCTCAGGCATAAATTTTCTGATATTTAGGCTCGATCCTCATGAATGAAGATATATGTACCTACCTATGTGATAGCAGGTGGAGAGAAAAGAGTTTTATTTACACTTCTTTGCTCGCTGTGATACTCTCATGCTATCCAGAGACAATCGCGAAATGGTATTTGTCAGTGTCAGCTCAAGGTTAAAGACTGCAGACACGTTTCCTAGGCGTGTATTATTAACTAGCGTCGACGCAGCCTTGAAGCTTAAACGGGAAGCGATACAAGGCCAAACGCCTAGCTGCAAGACATGGCCTGAAAAGGCAGCGTAGGTGCGTTGCCATTGATCACTTATTGCTGAAAAAAGAATGTGATACTGCCCATTTGATGCAGTTTCAAATCCTCCCTACATGCACCCTCCCCAGTCTTTGGTCAATCAACCGTTCAAGACATCAATTCCAAACGACCCATGACTCAGCACGAGGCAGAACCTCGGCAAGGCACAGGCTGCTGCCCCAGGGGGACAATCAGCTTCATCCGGCAGCCTGCAAATTGATTTGAGCGTAGCATGTGGGGTCGCGCATGTGTAAAAACCCGTAACGGGGGACCCTGCCCTGCTTGCTTTCAAGGTTACAAGACCCGTCTGTATTCCTACAGTCCCACGGAAGCACGGGGGCTGCAGAGAGGAGTCCATCCCGAACTGGAACTGGCGGCGAACGATCGAGAGAAACAGCGTCGGAATGGCCGATCTTGCACATCCATCTGCACAAATTCAATTGATAAGCTTGAAATGATCATTTTGCACGCACAGCAGCAGTAAGCTGCGGGAGACGAAGGAAAACGCATGGTTTCTTCGTTTAGGCAGGTCAGGCAACCTTAGTAGGAGCAGGTGCCTGGAGCCAATGCAAGCCTAATAAGTGCGCTTTGGCTCATTTCACGCCGGGTGCTATACTCGTCATGGTACTACTATTTCGTTCGTGGCCGCATGCACGCTCGAGACACTTACTACCTGATCTGTACTCGTGGCTTCATGTTGCCTCACGACGCCGTCTGCTGAAAAGGCGTAGGTAAGAATGGCCAGCACAAATCTCTCGTACCGGCTGCCAAGGGCCGTGGGCGCTTGTGTATGGAGTAGGCGGGGCGAGCTTGAAGACCCATCGTCACAAAGATCCTGACTTCGAGGCCTCTGCCTTTTTTATCGGGGCTGTGGACTGGACGCAGCTTTTGCGGCGACAAAGCCTCTCAGCTCCAGCGAAGCGAGATTCGTCATGGCGCGGGTTTTCTCCTCTCTCTTTGGCTGCTCTCCTTTCGTGCACGCTGCAGTGTACAATATTGTCGCTAGAATCTCTGAAGCCTGCAAGACCCCGGATATTGCTGCTGCTAGTCCTTGGGCTACCAGTTTCTCGTACCAGGATTTCCTGTCCCAAACGCTGAGCTGGCCCGGTCTAGCTCCGTCATCCACTCGCTCCCATCCACTCGTCTGCGGTCTCCGGGCTATAATAAGCCATTGATGGCAGCCATCTCGTTGCACCCCTGTCCCCGGCACGCACATCGCAACCGTCACAAACACCCCTGCGCAGATACTACATACATTTCGCGGCGGCGTGAAGGGGAACAAGCAACAAACTTGGCGGCGCCACCAGCTCCAAGGCCGACCACCTTTGATGCTGCCGCCCGCCCCTTTTGTCGCCTGTGACCAGTGCCACGTAGGCTGACGAGAATAAATCACACACACCTCTCAACATCCAGGACACTCTTTTTCTTCCGGATGGCTGCTGCTGCCTGTGACGAGAAGAGAGAGGGGGGGCGAGGCGAGGCGAGGCGATCAGAGCAGATTAAACCAGGCCAGAGCAGCCAAAAGGCAGAGCATCCATCATTCTACGGGCTCTGATTCCAACAAGTATTGACCCAAGATAGCCTTCTAAGCTGCCGGTTCCAGGAGATAGCCTTCTAGATTCCCTCTGGCCCGTCCAAGAAGCTTCAAGGGGCCGGTGCAGTGCGTTGCTGCGCGTGAGACTCAACCTTAAAAGGAAGAGAGAACCACTTTTTGGAAGCTTAGCTAAGGCGATGAGCTCGCAGCCCGTCATCTCGCCGAGGGGATTTCCCGCGTGTCGGGGATAAACGCAATAAGCACAGCGTTCGCCAAACGACGCCGCTAATCCCTAAAGCACAGTACGAGCTGTGTTAGTGTGCCGGGCCCTTCGCCATTAGCCATCTTTGCGAGCCCAGATCCATTGACGGGATCCCGTGGCCTCTGGACGAAGCACGTACCGGTACGGACGCTTGGAGATGCTTGGAGACACTTGGATGATCCAGGACAGTCCCTGCGGGGCGCGGGATGTCCAGGTACTGCTACAGTACGGAGCACGCACATTTACGGAGTAGTGCCCAGCCGATCTGCAATCCAGTCTCAGATTCTGCTGCCCTGGCGCCCTTTGGACCTGATCTCGAGAGGCCGGCGTCATGACAGCAACAGCTTCCATTCCACCGGCAGCGGCAGGACATCGACGAATGTCCCGTGAGGAGCGATGCAGACGAGACAGCGACCGAGCTTCTGCCCTGGATCCAGTATCGAAATCGCGATTGCTAATGGGGACAGCCCGGAGGCGGCCAAGCTGCTGCAGGAGCCGACCGACTTCGCAGTTCGCCACCGCACGAAGAGAGGGTTTTGGGGCTGCCATCCTAACACCCTGGGCTGGATCCAAGCATCTGTCTTGGCAGCCGAGTTTGTGCATGCCACAGAGTCTGGGGCATCCTTACTGTAGCAAACGGTGCCTTGTGCAAAAGCATCCGCCCCCTTTGCAGGGGCTGGGCCAAAATGACCTGGGCTGGGCTACCGTTAACCGAGTTCGCGACGATGTGGCTTGAGATTTTCCTTTTGGCCGCGTCTGACCGGGCGGGCGTTGAACGGGAGAGCAAGGCCAATGTGCAACTTGGCAATATCTCGTGCGCCGGAGAACCTTCGGCCCCAGATATCTACCGACCAAACTGCCTCAGCACGAGTGCCGGAACGTGACAAACAGATGTTACAATTAGAGCGAATAGGTACATGCAAGAGGAGAACACTTCAGTTGACGAACGAATTGGGCTTGCGCCACTAGCGCTGGGAGATGGCGCATCTGGCAATGAATTTCTTTTCCCTCTTGTCGTCCTTTGTCTGAAGTGACATGCACATCCAGAGACCAGGTCACAGGCCGACAATAACAAGTCGACTGGACCCCGCAAGCTGGTTTTCTTCTCCGCGGCGAAACGTTTCGCACAAGTACTGAGAACCCGGCACCATGTCTTCAATGTCTTGTTTGTGAAGAGCCTCTACGACAAAGTGGGACACTGTACCACCCTCCGCCGGCAAGTTTTAGCAGCCAGGCCTAGGGTTCTCTCTAATCCCCCGTTTCTCCCGCTGTCCTACCGCCATGCTATCTCGTTCCACAGCGATTTGAATGCTCAATCTAGCGCCAGGCCGGTCCACCTTCGAGAACGACTAGATGCAGTAGTGCCCACGACGGAGCAGTACCTGGTGCATCACACGCTGTAGCAACGTCTGCTCGGTACCGCTCCGTATCTGCACATAGCTCTGAGGTAGTCATCAAGTATTTCGCTTCCGACGCTATGAACTACCCAAGATAGCGACATTCGTGATGCGCGGCAGCCTCCGCGAAGCGACGCTGCAGATAAATGCCATACCTTGTCGCTCTGTGGCTCTCTGTGCCCGTACATACGCCACCGTCAATCTTGCTATATATGCGGCGCAGTATCGTGTCCGCAACGCGGCCTCATCGCATCAGAGAGGGGGCTAGCCAAGGCAAAAGCAAATGTCATGCCGCAGAAGCTCGCCCTCCCCGTGGCATGACAGGGCTAGAGCAAAACGGTCATGTATGTGCAGGTTACTGTAGGGAGGCAGATTTGGAGGGGGCAAGATCTCGAGGAAAAAAACTGTCCCCCTCCATTATTAAGTTTGGCGGTAGGATGTGAAAGCCTTGGGTGGCCTTGCCATTGGTAGAGCGGCGCTGCAGTGGCGCTGGCATCTAGCCAGCCTTTAATTGATGTCTGGCGCCGGCTATAGCGCAGTCCACCGGCTGGGTTTCTAGGCCCGTTTAATCTGGCGTGGGCTGAACGCCCGGCGTTGAGGTAGGCGGTACTTGGCGGGTACTGCAGCGTGGCCGGTGGCTGCGGCTGGTGGCCAGGTACTTGCAGCACAGTCCAGGTACTGCATACCCCAGGCGCGGCAGGGCCAATGTACCGACAGAGGTACGGAGGGCGGATGTGGATTCGATTCATCTTCTTTCTTCAATCTTCGCACTTCCTCCTCACATTCGCCATCTCGCTCTCCTTTGACGGCGCCCCGATCGAGCCTCAGCGCTGCTCTACTCCTGCAGACTCGCCTGCGACGACCAGCCGTGACACTGCCGCCACCTGCTGGCGCGCTCTCCCCCCTCCCACCCCTGGAACCATAGCCATGGTCATCAAGGAATTTCTCGACTCAGACCGAGTCAACTTTCTCATCTGGAGGTTCGTCAAAGCCCGTTGCTTTTGCCAGCCTTGTGCCCTCTTGGCCGCCTGCCACCCTCCAGGGCACCCACTGCCCCCCCAATCTTCCATCACCGAGCCTTTAAGCTTCCCATAGACGTTTTTTTCGGCCCTGAGAGGCCTTGTTGGCGCCCACGCCTCGTGCTGACCCTTTTTTGCGCAGGTATTTGCTTGAAGGCAGTACGTGGAACCGCGCAGCACCGCAACTCTTGTCCCTGCAGTTTCTCGCAGGGCCGGAGCAACCTCGATGTATGACTAACCGTGGACAATTGTTTTTTTGCCTCTAGATTACAGAGAAACTGCCGCCAAATTTCAGAAAGAATGGCACGTCAAAGAGCCGCAGCGAGACTTTGACTTTGCGCGCCATGTCAAGGGCCGTGCTCTAGTGTCTGTTGTCAACAGCGGCCTTATCTACTATGCGCTCGAAAGAGAGCACGCACGTCACCAGGTACGCCGGGAAATTTACTGCTTGCTAGAGTCACTGGGGTTTCCCTTCTCTTCTTGCTTCTTGTCTTCTTTTTTCAAGTTCGCGATTGGGGCCTGGGCTGCCTGTGCGCCAATCGCGGTTCGCCTTTCCCTTTTTTTTCCCTTTTGGCTGACGATCCGATTCGGCAGCAGATGCCTGAGGATGCCACCGCACAAGCCGAGGTGCTGCGCAACGGCATCTTTGGACCGCTGGTGGAAATGCAGCCGCCAGCAAAAACAGAGGAAGAGGATGACGACGAAGACGTGGATGCACCAGGCGAAGAAGAGATAGACTTGTCGCGAAAACGGATTCAGAACTCTCTGCCCAATGGGTCGCCCTCCAAGCGACCGCGGCTCAGCAACGGCTGTGAGAGTAAATCCGATGCAGCCACCGTCAGCACCCCCATGGCCATGGATGTGGACCAGCAGGAAAATCACCAACAGCACGACGACGACCAGAGCCTGCATGACAATCACGCCTACCCGTCTCCGCTAGAAGGAGAACAGGTGCCGCTTCCAATTGTACGGACAGAGGGCCCCGAGCAGGGCACGCAGGTCGATAAAGTCGAGCAACTATTTCCAAAAACCACCTTCATCCGCCTCATGGACACCAACTGCGCCACCGAAACAGCGCCATCTCCCTCCCCAGCTGGGACTGAAAACGCTCCCATTCTGCTGCAGTGCGAGTGGAACCCTAGAGACCCATCAATATTGGCGGCTGCTGGAACCGATGCGCTAGCCCGCGTTTGGACCATTTCGCGTGCCACGGCAACTGAGCATGGCGAGCATCACGTGTCACCCCACGCCCACGCCTTGTTGGATCCCGACGCTCCCAAGACAACCACGGTCACGGCGCTGGCCTGGACTTCAGATGGCACGGCAATTGCCGTGGCTAGCGACTGCGGAGGATCCCGCGCTGCCATCCATGTGTGGTCTGCCGGCGGCGAACTCCTCCAGTCCATGGACGTGGCAGAGCCGCCCATCGTCAAGCTTCTGTGGAATCCCAGCAACTCGGCGCTCCTTGCCATTTCCCCAGAAAACAAAGTCGGTACATCAATAACAGTGCACTCGGCAACCTCGAACAAATCCTTCAGGTACGATCTGTCGGGCCACAGCCTCGATACCGGACTGGACGCAACATGGACCGGCGACTCTGAGTTTTTGATTTGCGGCGGGGGCGTCTTTGAGTGCCTAAGCGTGGGAGAGACATCAATACAAAGGGCTCGAAAATTCGAGACCAAAGAGGATGATCATTTTGCTCAGGTTCTATTTGACCCGCTATCTCAGCTGGTGGCCACTTCCAGCGATAAGGGTGTTTTAGATGTAAGTCTGAGAAGAGAAAATAAGCTTGATATACCCATACCCCGACTATCTAGGAAATGGAGACTAATCATCATGATTTTATATAGCTATGGGACGAGTCCGGCGCGCGCCGATCCATATCAGCACATCAGGGGTCGATCACAACAATGGCCTGGCAGCCCCTGTCGTCAAATCACTCCAGTCCAGACGATGAACGATTAATCGCTACCGGAGGAGAAGACGGCGCCATTCTGATCTGGAACGCCAGAAAGCCTGAAAGCAAACCAAAGTGCTTTTTCACAATGGAGCTGCCCGTCGTACGACTCGCTTTCACACCCGACGGAGCTTTTATCGCAGGAGCCACATCAAGAAGCGTCTTAATATGGAAGGTTGATAGCCATTCCGTGCCTCGAGCCGTCTGGAGACCGTCTAGAGACGAATTCGAGAACCTGAAGAGCAACCAAGATTCTGAAGAAGAGGATGAACACTGTCTTTGCTGGGATATCAGCGGCCAGAAGCTTGCTTATGGTGCAAACAGTCGAGTATGTATAAGAAATATTGAGTGGGCGGTTCATGTGGAACGTTTTGACTGACAAATTTCTTAGCTCGCTATCATTAGCTTCAGTGGATAGAATCCACATTTACAAATGAGAAGAAGATTTGGTTACATTACAGCACATGGATGATCCTATAAGAGATAGGATCAATAAGTTGACTCTTTTGGAAGCGTTTCAAGTCGACACGGCATCATGAGGACGAAATAAGAACAACAAAAGGAAAAAAAAAAAAATCTAGAGAGCCACGGCATTGGCGAGTGGCGCGACCATCGACAATGACTGCGGTATGACGAAACTCACGTCAACAGCAATTCTCTTTTGTTTCCTTCTCATCTTTCTTACATTCTCCTTGAACAAAGGATGGCTATCTGGATTCGCGGGAGGTGATGTGCCGCGATACCAATCTTTTAGGGCGCAATGGCCCTTGCATCGGTCCCTTTTGTATACCAGCATTCCCCGTTGGGCTTTCTTTTTTTTGGTCATAACAACATATATCTGGACAGCAAGGGGAGACTGGACCAAACTATGCTAATTACATCTTGACTACGCGGATACACTCGAATGAACGACAGGGATAAAACGGACGTATGGAGTACGAGTGGTGTTATTCTGATTATTTTCAAGTCAATTTTTTAAGTCTCCATCTTGTTTTTGCTTTGCTATTTTTAGTCTTTGGGCCGGCGGTAACATGAGAGAGGGGAGGCGAGGCAAGAAGGACGAGGAGAAAGGAAAGCTAGCAAAAGGCATTTCGATTTGTGTCAAAACGTGTTTGAACAGACAAAAGAGGTAGTGAGGCTGCGTCTTGTACATTAAAACTAGCAGGGTACTTACTATACCTATCAATTCAAGGACAAAGATCCGTTACTAATAAGCTGAGGTTTGCATCCAGAGCGAGTAGTGGACTGTGTTAAGGTAGTCTGTATGTACATGACTAGCGAAAGCACAGAGCCCTTGTAATTGGCCTGTGCTTGGCTACCTATGAACTATTACTGCTGTGCGTCCAGTCTATGCTTCTATACAAGCGAGTGAGGTGACGCCATGAAGTACAATTGAATGTACAGTGTCGATGTCGAAGTCGAGGCGGGGTTAGTGCCAACGGATGACCTAAGACAGGATCGTGCCTAAATTCGCCCGACATTTCCATTTCTATTACTTACAACCACCTCTCGTCAGCTACATCTACGCCAGGCTGCACGCGCAACACGCAAATTATTCTCAGATTGAATCCCAAGATAACCAAGGAGCATCAAATAGTAAAAGCAACAAGAAGGTTTGACCTCTATTCCTCTAAGCCATAAAGAATTAAAGGGCACCAACAATATGGCTGGCCTACCACCCAACTACAACTTCACCAATCAATACGACACGCAGCTCCAGGCTTCAATATCGCAGATGCAGCAGCATCAACAGCAGCAGTTGCAACAGCAGCAGCAACAACAACTCCAACAGCCGCTATTCCAGCACTCCCAGACTCAAATGCAGCATATCCAACATCAGCAGCTTCAGCAGCAGCAGACACACCAGACGCACCAGCAACAGCAGGCCCAGTTGATACAGCAGCTACACCAAGAAGCTCGAGATCGGCGCGAGAGGATTCGCAGCAAGCCGTTTCCCACCACCGTGACTCAATCGGTGCGTGACCGCCAAGCTCGTGGCAAGGACGTCTACAGGAGCAGCGAGGACGAGAAGACGGACGAGGAGGAAGACGCGCATGAGGAAGAAGCACGACGCCACCAGCGACAACACCGGGAGAGACAGCCTATTTTGAGAAAAGGGTGCGTGATTTAAACTTGATTTTCACTTGATTTTCTTCTCTTTGATTTTTTTTTACTTTAACTTGTTTCATTTTTGGCTTTTCCTTTTTTTCCGACTCTCTTTGCTTGTTCTTGATTTTTGAGCTTTGCTTTATGTTTACTCTGCGTTAGCAATCGTAATAGTCTCGAAAGCGTCCCTGATGACGAATCTGATGATGGCAATGGTGGAAGAGATACCGACAATGAAGCTGATATCCTGCGGTGTTGCAGAGCAGAGGATTTCGAGACGCGCCAGCGGAGGGCGTTTGCCGCGTCGGTGTTGGATCGTCCGGAGCAGTTGATGATGTATGCCCAGAGCGAACACGACGTAAGTCCACAGAGAGAGAGCGCACTATTATTATATCTCTAGTTCATGTGCTGACGGATGAGATGGGGGAGACAGAGTATTGCTGGTCAGCGTCATCGCTTTATGACTATAATGTGTGGCTACGAGGAGGATGAGTACTGGTCCAACGTTGGGCACCACCGAGCGACCAGGAGGGCGGCGCGGGAGAGGCAGGCGAATGTGCGAAAGGCTATGAACATTGATCGCAGAACGGCCTAATGAGAAGGACGGACTTGTTTAAGAGAGGAAGTGGTTTTTATGATTGTTTTTCTTTCTTTCTTTTCTATATACGGATTTCACTCTCAGCGGATAACGGCACACTTCTTGGAAGATACTATTTTACGACCTATATGAATTTTTTTGTTTATTCCATATCAGCAGATTGAAATGAGATATAATATGGTATATGTACTTAATATATATTGTCATCAGCTCGATCCACGTCGAAGGACTATAAAGCAAAATCTCATAAACAGTCAAAAAGAGATAAAGTTGAAATTCCAAACGTCGCAACGATGTGTATGTGTATGTGTGAGCGTGTAAGTGTTCGTGAGCGTGTGTGTATACCAATATTGTATATCCAAAGACAAGTGTTTCCCTCCTCTTTCATGAATCGTCAATAAAATAGCCCTATCCTCCCATGGAAAAAACGCCCCGAGTATGTGCAAACATTTTCAAGTATGTAATCCAACCCTTCCCCCTTTTTTTTTTCAAATTCCCAAAGAAAGAGTGTGTGTATGCTATTCCGAACGATTTCCAGCTCTTCGGAAAGAAAAAAACACATGAAGAACTCATCCCTCTCTCAACAACAGTGAAGAAAAAGAAAACAGACCAACAGAATTGCAAATGACAACAAATTACAACGGTTTACCAGCGATAGAAACATCCTCTCATGCATACCGTGCCATTCTCGGCCTCCACTGCGACTCCTGAATCGAAGGCTGTCCATATTCAGGCGGCGGCTGCTGATACGCCGGTGGCGGTGGATTAAACTGCGTCTCAGTCATATTGTAATCCTGCGGCCCAGGCCCTTGGTTCTGGTTCCCTCTCCACTGAGGCCATCCGCCACCAGCGGGGGGCGAGGAGGTCTTGGGAACTGCTCGCCGTCGCTTTACCCGACGCCAGCAGCTGAGAATGATGCTCGCTATAATGACGATGACCAAGATGCCCACCACAACCGCAATGGGGATAACAATCTCCTTGTGGCCAGTGATCCATTGCTGGATCTCCTTGGACGTGGAGCTGCCGGTGCATGTGCCGTTAGAACAGTGTCCGCCGGCGCCGCACGGAGTCCCGTCAATAAAGTTCTGACCATACAAGAGGCACTGGCGTTGCCCGAAGGCAAGTTCTCCGGAAGTGCAGGAAACTGTGCAGCTGTTCTGGGTATCAGGGCAAGCTGTTGTCGAGCTGTTGTTGGCCGAGGTGCCAACGGCGACCTGGCATTGCCTGTCACGAGACGTACACTGCCCTGAAGCACATGCGAGGCCATTGCCGCTGCCGCATGATTCGCCATTTGATTTGTGCTGGTCGTCGGGGCATTTGGCTGCGTTACCGGGGCAAGTCTCCTGGATGTCGCACTCTCCGGTGCTGGGCCGGCACACTGTTCCAGAGGACGCAAACTGGCATTGGCTGGTGCAACAGTCTTCGTTGGACGGGTCACACACAGAGTTATTTGTAAACTTGCATGTTTTTGCGTCGCAGCACGTATTGTTTTGGCAACCTTGCTCACCACCGCAGTCGCATTCTTCGCCTTCCTCGACGATGCCGTTACCACACTGGCCGCCGGTGACGGTTGGGATGTTCTTGTTGTCGGTCAGACAGGTTGATGCAGCTGCAGCTTTGAGACTGGAGCAGATATTGCCAATGCTGCACGGAGAAAACTGGGTGATTCCCACGCCAGTTGAAGGATTCATGATGAATTTGCCCCCGGCATCGCAAGCGTTGGCGCTGAGTGGGCAGCAAGATGGTGAAGAGGCATCAACAGGACAAGTAGAGCTGGTGCAATCATGGACAGCCCCGAAAGTGTGTCCCGATTCGTGGGCAAATACCTGCCACTCTGTCGTCGTTCTCACCACAACATTGGTGCCGGCGACAGTCTCGTTATTGCCTTGCCCATCCGAACTGGTTCCTGACCCCTGACGACAGACTTGGCTTCTCCAGGCCAACCCGACGGCTGAATCCGTAGGACAGGTGCTGAACAGAGACCAATAAGCATTGTTATCGAGAGATCGGCCACGCCAGGCAGAAAAGAGATTTAATCGATCGCTAATAGTAGTGTTGGACTGGCAGTCGACGTTCCAAGGAGTAGCGGCCTGAGGAGACCCTGGGCATCCACGATCGAGAACAGTCAGGTTTCTTATACCCAGAGAGATCTTGAACGAACTCTCATAGACCTGGGAGGCTTGATTCACAACTCCTATGACATTCTTCCTCAGATCTTCAGAAGAGTTGAAGCCACCCCAGTATGTACAATCAGTAGCAATGCCAACCAAGGCCACCTTTTTGGTGGTTGGGCAGCCAGCTGTGCTTCCAATGCTCGCAATCAAGTCCTGGCCACTTCCTCCGGAACCTCCATCGATTGATTGGCGACCAAACAAGCTTCTGGCATCTATTCCTCGGAGCCCAGTTGATCGCTTTAGCTCCACATCAAATTGGTTGTTAAAATTCAAGGAATCTGATATACACTCTGACGGGCTCGAGACATGGCGTTTCAGCTCTCCACGACTGAGGAAGTCCTGAACATCGGAGTCACGCCACACGACCATGACCTCATCGGGATCTCGTTCTTCCCTGTCCTCAAACGCAGGGTCGCTCTCAAGCTTAAGATTGTTGTACTTGGTGCCAGTATGGATATGATGATTGTCACCATCAGCTCGAAATGCGCCGTCAAAGACCGGGTGCTTGCCATCGCGGTGTACCGTTATCCTCGCCCATCCAGCCAGGGACCAGCCATCCTCATCAGGGCGCTCAATGTAGGCGTTACCCCGATAGACCTTGTGTTCGGAACGCTGTACTTTCTCTCTTGATCTGACGTTTCCCTGAGAGTCGAGATAGGTCACCTCAAAGTCCTCGTGGAGAACATCGTGATTGGGGTGAAGAGATAGCCGGATTCGCTCTTGTCCATCGTGAAGGGAGAAGGTAAGGTCGAACTCAGAATGTGAGTGCACTCGGCCGGCAGGCGTGTGAATCTTGATATCGTCAATGACGGAGACGTAACTAAGTGGACTCCTCTTCAACGAATGCGCTACAGTGAGATTCAAGGGAAACTCGGGTATCAGCGAATGGCAACTGGCTTGGACAGCGGAGGAGAGATGATAATACCAATCGCAGTCTGGGCTAACAAGGCTGTGCTAGCAAAAGCGGCCACAAGAGACCGCAGCGCAACCATGGCAGCGGGGGTGGAGATCTGAGTATCTATATAAACGGCCGACTAAGAGAAAAAGGCGACACGCAGAATAGACGCAGAGAAGAAAACGGCTATCACAATAAACAGGCCATCCAGAACGCGGGCGACGAGTGGGCAGGCTTTCAGCTCTTTCTTAAGACAATGGCAAGCCAAGAAACGATTGCGTTTATCCGCGTGGCGCAGAGAAATAGCGACAGAAACGGAGGAGGAGAAGAAGCGACCAACACCAAGAGAGAAGGCAAAAGAAGCCCCCGAAGGTGGGGAAAAGCGCGCGCCGCGGACGGGAAGTCGGGGCAAATGAGAGGGAGAAACGAAGCAGAAAAGACGATGAGGAGGATGAGAGAAAGACGGAGTGTGAGAGAAAAAGTGTGTGCGTGCACCAGTAAGGCGGTACTTGGAACGATGAGGCTCAGATGCTGCTTGGCGCCGGTACATGCCTCATAGCGCCTGGGCGACCAGCTTGGGGTGGACAAGAGCGCTGTCAACAATGTCTGCTGCTGCCGTAGCTGGGGGAGTTTGGCAAGCTTGGGGGAGCTTTCGGGGCCCACTGCGCCTCCACCAGGTACGCTTGGAGTCCATTAAGCTCGTAAACCCAGTGGGTACAGAAGCGCTAGAAGGGCGCTGAAGCAGTGCCGTCCGCAAGTAGCAGGGGGTGATGACAGCAGGGCTGCTTGGCATGGGGGACGGTTATCAGGTTTGTTTCGACGTGATGAGATGGACAGAAAGAGGCTATGCAAATTGCAGCGCATGTTGCTAGAAATCGACGATGATTTGATGAAATTCCGTAATGCAGTTTTTTGTTGTGTGTGCGTGTGTGTTAATTCGCGTATTTTCATGGCGTTCTGTCGGGCTTACACAGAATACGAAGTAACTTTTCGTCTCCAGCCTCGATTCCGTTATGCATATTCCCTGAAACTTGGCCGAGAGGCGAGGGGTAAGGTAGCCCTGTCTTGCCTCCGCTTACAAAGTTATGTCACTGTGCCTTTTTTTTTTCTTGTTTCGTTCTTCAGCTGTGCTGGTCCAATAAGAAGAGATCCCGGTCTGCACGTATTTAGTGGAAAATGTCATCAGACAGATTCCATTGATGTCTTGCTGAGACATGGGACTGCATGCCATCCAATAATTTTTCCTTCTTCGATACATGCCCTGTCTACTGCATTCCTTGGAACGCAAAATTGCTGTCAATCGACTTTTCAGTTTGTTTCGATGAAAAATCGAGATATATCAAAGATGTCGAGAGAAAAGGGGGGACGCACTCTACAGCTCCTTTGGCCGTCGTAAAATGGCATCAATCATGAAACCCCCTCCCCCGTTGCCCCAAATCTCACCAGCTGCTGGGCTGAGCCACTCTCTGCCAAGAATATACCCCAAAATACACCCCGTTTCGACCTTGGCAGAAAAGTATGAGAAGATGAGAAAATGAAGAAATCAGCATTCTCGTATAATTACCCAAGATCACATGATATGTATGCATGGCCCTGCAGAAGGTGACTGCGTCATGCATAAATGTGTTCGCTCACCCTTAATTTTCATTTGTACGAGACGAAGGAAAGTCGAACATTCGTGTCAGCATATCAGAAACAAGACTGCGCGCGCGCGGTTACAACTTCGCAGCAAACAAAATCCAGCCAATAGCATATATCCGATGACCATCATGGCTGAGTATCTGTCTTGGCGACTTGGCACCTGATTGCGAGGGACACTCTCTCATCTCTGTCAATCTTCTCTCGTCTTCTCACATTCTCTCGTTTTTACAAGTCCAAATGTATGCGGGACATTGAATTACACCGAAGCGTAGTCGTGGTGGGAGAAAAGACCATCAAGTACACACCATCTTCGGCTTCATCGGCGTGGGCCAATCCAGGCTGTGCAAGCAGTTGCCGGTCTTGGCTCGACTCCATATCTTCCAACATCTGTGGCGCCGTGCTAGACTGTATGAAAGCATCATCAAGCGCAATACTAATGTCTGCCACTCTACAAATTCAGCCACTCGCCCCTATTCCGTATAACTTACCCCGTTAGATCCAAGTAGATCCGAGGCAGGCAAGCCAAGATGTGATGTCTAAAAGGCAAAATGAAGGTTAACTGCCTTTCTCATACCCATAACAAACTTGTTTGATAAGCTACATATAAGTACTTCCTTTATCGTCTTGCTTGCCAAGACTGGAAGTACGCGCGTCTTCAATTGATTCCTCAGCCTGCGGGTACAAGCCTCTTCGAATGAAAGTAATCAATTTCCGCTCAACGATAAAAGTTTATTGGATTCATCGTCTCAGATATCAAGTGCTATCCCAATCGTTATATCCGCGTATAAAAAAAAAGAAAATACAAGTATTCTTCCCCCCCGATTACCCTAATTTGAAACATCAAAACGGACTTTGCGTGCGTTAATGGCCGCCGTTCTTACTTCCGACCTAATTGTACTACCAAATGACAAGCTAGATGCGAAACAAAAACTCGCTCTGACTCCTAAACTGCTTTGCTTTATTTATTTTTTTTCCTCTCTCATTTTTTTATTTTCCCTTTGATGCGTGAACAGTCGCAATGATCTTGTCGACGACGGAAGGGTCAGACAGCTGAACAAGGAACACAATGGTCAGTTACATGATACGTTGCCTAATTTTAGGGAGGGGAGCAATAAACGTACTGTTGAGACATCGCCAAGCTGATCCTCCTCGCCGGCCAAAACCTTCCTCAGAATGCGGCGCATGATCTTACCACTTCGCGTCTTAGGGAGATCTCCAATAATGTAGACGGCCTTGGGGGCAGCAAAGGGGCCAATGCTCTTTCGGACTTGCAGGACAAGCTCCTTGCGGAGAGCGTCTGTCGCCTCGTTTCCGTCCTTGATGGCGACGAAGGCGTTGACGGCCTGGCCGGTCAGCTCGTCGGAAACACCAACGACAGCCGCCTCGGCAACGGCGTGGTGCTCAATCAGAGCAGCCTCGATCTCAGCGGTAGAGAGACGGTGACCGCTGACGTTGACGACGTCATCGACACGACCTCGGATCCAGTAGAAGCCCTCGTGGTCACGGGCAGCACCATCACCAGTGAACTAAATATCAGATTGTCAGTTTTGTTTCCATCCTTCTCCCGTACACGCTAGGATGTTCTTACGTAGTAACCCTTGTAGACGTGGAGGTAGGTATCCAGGTATCGCTTGTGGCTGCCGTAGACGGTACGAGCAATGCTGGGCCATGCCTGCTTGAAGGCGAGAACGCCCTCAACATTGTTGCCGTGAAGCTCCTCTCCAGAGACAGGGTCAATGATAGAGGGCTCAATACCGAAGAAGGGTAATGAAGCGCTACCGGGCTTCATGGGAGTGACACCGGCAAGGGGAGTGATGACGTTGGAGCCGGTTTCGGTCTGCCAGTAGGTCTGCAGATCTCATACATTAGTAATCTATCATATGCTGGTCTTGTCATCTCTTTTGACTTACGTCGACGACGTGGGCGCTCTCCTTGCCAACAATCTCGTAGTACCACTTCCAAACCTCAGCGGCGATGGGCTCACCGACCGAGCCGAGAGTTCGCAGGTACTTGAAGTTGCCGCGAACGTGCTCGTCACCAGCGCGCTTGAGCAGTCTCAGGGCTGTAGGGGCCACGTAGAACTGAGTGATGTTGTGCTTCTCAATGATATCCCAGTACCTTGAGAAGTTGGGGTAGGCCGGTGTACCCTCAAAGACGACTGTTGCAACACCCAAGAGCAGGGGAGAGTAGACGACATAGGTGTGGCCAGTGATCCAACCGACGTCACCACCGCAGAAGTAGCGATCACCATCGTGGATGTCGAAGACGTACTTGCCAGTCAGCGCGGCGCCAAGCAGGTATCCGGCGGTGGTGTGCATGACACCCTTTGGCTTTCCGGTGGAGCCAGATGTGTAGAGGAGGAAGAGGGGATCCTCCGAGTTCATGGGCTCGGGGGCGATGTAACTGGGCCACTTCTCAACCTCCTCGTGCCACCACAGATCACGGCCGGGAACCATGTTGATGTCGGCGCCAGTGCGGCGGTAGACGAGAACATTGCTGACATCGGGGCACTGCTTCAAAGCATCGTCGACAATCTTCTTGGTGCCAATGAACTTGCCGCCTCGCTTACCCTCGTCGGAAGTGATGACGAATCGGGACTTGGCATCAATGACACGGTCGCGGAGAGCGTCGGCAGAGAAACCGGCGAAGACGACGGAGTGGACGGCGCCGATACGGACACAGGCCAGGATAGCAACAACGGCTTCGGGAATCATGGGCATGTAGATGGCGACGGTATCGCCCTTCTTGATGCCGGCCTGCTTGAGGACCCAAGCAACCTTGGACACATCACGAAGAAGCTCGCTGTAGGTCACGTTGCGGCCCTCATCGACCTCGTCAGCCTCGTAGATGATGGCAACGCGGTTGGGGTCCTTGTAAGCATGGCGATCAACGGCGTTGTAGCAGGCGTTGAGCTGGCCCTCGACGAACCACTTGACATCGCCCTCAGCGAGGCTGCCGGCGGAGACGGTCTCGAAGTCGCGAGTCCAGGTCAGCAGCTCGCGAGCTGTTCGGCCCCAGAACTTGTTGGGCTCGGTGATGGATTCCTTGTAGAGCTTCTGGTACTCCTCTAGGCCTGTGTAATTTTAGAAGCGGTCAGCACTCCGGGTCTGCATATCCTAAAACCGCGTACCTGCGCCAGCCGTCCGGACAGACGGAAAAAACGCCGTTGGTTTGACGCAATTCCCGGACGTCCGGACCAGGTCGTGGCATGTGCGCCGACACCGGTGCAGATACTGCTGTTTTGAGGTGATTTTGGAAAATGATGCAACTTACTGCCAATGTGGGGTTTGCTAGGGTGCTCTGTCGAATGGGTGAAGAAGAAAAGACATGTCAGCAAGATCTACTCAAAAGCAGCTAAGAGCAGCTGGCTCTCTCTATCGGAGATTTCGAGGGGCTACTAGCGGTGGCAACGTACTGGCGAACATCTTCTGGGGAGGCTCTGTTGCGCGCAAAGTCAGTCTCAGCTTCAAGATATCACAGGACAAGCTGCGGAAAGCGTTCTTACGGAAAGTCTCAATCTCGTGGGCCTCCACGACGACTCCCTGGTTGTCGGCCATGGCTGTGAAGATTGGCGATTTTGCGGCTGCTGCGCGTGTTTGTGCGTGGAAAAGGTGTAGAAAAGGTCTTGGAGGGGTCGAGCGGCAATACGCGCTGCAGAAATCCGGCGGAGTGCGGGGTAGCTGTAAGGTCGCGGTACCAGTACTTGGTGCTACGTTGCGGCTTGTGGAGAGTCTCCCGCGCTGCAAAAGCCTAGAGGGTGAGGTTGTCGCGGATGCGCTGCGAAGCTTGGGGCGAGCAGCAGCGGTCGCTTGGCGAAGACGTTGTCCCTGTCCGAGTCGCAATGGCTCGGAGAAGAGGGAGCAACTGGAGACGGTGCCAGGCAGTGGCAAAGTCGTCGCAAAGAGAAGCAGACGGGATTCTCTGAGTGTCTTCTGGTGCTGGACTGGTCCAGAGGTGGTGGCGCAGATTGGAGATGTGAAGAAAAGAGCAAGCAACAGGGAGGCGGAAGAGAAGAAGGAAAGGCGGCGGAGGGTGGAGGGGGGTCAAATTGCTTTATAGTCCTCGCATTTGGGTCTGGATTCGCGATGCTACCGCCTCAAGGGATTTTGCCTTCTGGGATAGCTACCGACCTTGACGCTCACTAGCCGGCCTCCGTCTGTGATTCTTATGGAGCCCATGCCGTTGTAGTAGGTATGGAGCGTCAATCTTAGTTTCGTGGCTCCGTCGTCTGTACGAGCGAGTACACGATACCAGGACCACAAATTCTCCATTTCCCGCGCTTTGCAGGCTTACTTTTCAATATCGCTGCAAGCATGTTGCAGTGGATCATGATGATGAGGAATTTGCTATCTGCCTCGTAGCCTACTAGTAAATGTTACCTACGTGACTTAGCAATGTTGAGCAGTGGTGGTTTATAGTAGGTGATGCCCTGGTCTGACTAGAGGCTTGATGTTGCGAGAGAGACCACAAAAAGAAGGGAGGCCATCTCGACCATGGCCAGCCGGCATGCCCACGGGGACGTCTAGAGTCTGTTTTGCTTTCCTTTCCCCGACTTTCCCCAGGCTGATCCTCCCGCAAATTCCCTCCCCAGGAATCCTTTAGCGCGGGCTTGTCATGTCCTATGCCGTCTTAGAATCCATCGCCGCAGCGCCACGTCTCGTCCTTTTGGTGTCTCAAAGGCCTCCCTCTCGCCCTGCGAGACGGCGCTTGCCCCGATGGGCCGGGTGGAGCAGCAGCACCTCCGTTGCCCCGAAGCGCGTGGCCAACAAGAATCAGAGGCCCTTCCGTAAAGGGGTCAGACAGACCCAAAAGACCCAGTGGCCGTCCACAAGTCGGAAGGGCGCGGCTCATCAGGGTTCGACCGTTTGCCAGCAACTGCTCGGCCGCTCAGATGCCTGGTACGGCGCTCTTATCGCCTTGTGCCATGTTGCCGGCGCCGCACCCACTTGTCAAGCAGCGAGACAAACGCCTGTCGCCCGAACCGAAGAGTCCATGGAGATGAGCTTTCTGATGTTCTGAGCAATTCTGACAAATTATCCTCGGGATATCTGTTCTCTCCCCTCATGCCCGCACATGGACATTGATTTCACATTTCATACTATCTACCTGTGCCTCATGGCTTCTTACAGTATCCTGTGGTCACAACCCTCCGCAAGCCGCCTCCTTGGCTTGATCCGTCCTATCATGCAGAACCCATGACCGGGGTTCTGAGAGTTTGCAGCTCTCGAGTCGGCAACCACCAATTATCGCGGATGCTGAAATTGCTACCCACGATGTGCTCATGCTAGCTGCATTCATCCCGGACACGGTGAATAAGCGAAGCCCCCCATCTAGGCACTACGGAAGACAATTGCTAGGGTAACACTGGACTATGGAGCCCGTTCCGTGCTGCTACGATGGACTGCCACGTTATAATTCAGCGAGGGTTCTCTTCGGCGTCCATGGGTGACTGAATCGGGTCCTGCTAGAAATTGGGGGTCTGGGTGGGTGCCGGCTCCGATGTACAATATCCGCTGCCTCGCACGTCACTAAGAACTACTAGTACCTTAGGTACCTAAGAACTACAAATCTCCTGTTCTCCGTACCGAGTTATCCGCGCGGGGGGGGTTGCTTGATTGAGTACCATGTACGGAGTGCTGAGAAATGAATCCGCAGAAAGGGGGAACAACTGCTTTGCGCAGAAGATAGAAGATCAACTCAATGTTGTATAATAAGCAGCGCCAAAAAATAGGTAGGCGGTGGTTCTAAAATCCTTCGATGCTACTCTGCCTGACGCCGCCCCTCTTTTACCCTTCCTTCCACCCATCCACTCCGTTGTTGCAGCGAAACAGTTACCCTACAAAAATCTAATCAACGCAGAGGCTGCTACCAACGCACCCAACCATTCGGTACGGATTATGCGTTATTAAAAGTAGCCTGTTTCGCCGAAGGTGTGGCCGTTTCCTGGATGGTCCATCTGCTGCGCGGCCTGGAGCGGTGTTGTCCCCGTGAAAGTCTTTTTCCCGCATTGGCTGGTAAAGGCTGGTGATGTAAGTTAGGTTGAGAATACTTTGCTCAACGCAGGCTACCATTTGTGGACTCTAGGTACCCATCCAAGGTAGCCTCGCAGACAGCCGGTTAAATGGCGAGACGTCCCGAAGATAAATGAAGAGCACCAGGCTATATGCAGGTTCACGCGCAACATATGGCCTGCGCTATCCTACGCCGCCCTGACTTGGGTTGCACCACTGCGACTTCATAAATCAGACGGGAACTGGTGTAGCAAAATCAATTGGATATGTCTCATGCGACACGACCTGACTCGAATTCCAGCTCCTCTCTTGATAATTCCATTGACATGTGAGTACTGATTTATATTTATTCGCAATATTGGCTACACAACAGCCACTCTTCGAAAGCAAAACCACTCGGGTTGGCGTTACCCGCTTTCAATCTATCTCATCGGAGCTAGGAGGCTTTATCCAAAGACGAAAGACAAGAGGTTTAGGATCTTGAACCAGATCAAAACAGAATGAGGAGAAGAAAAAAGAGATGGAGCCGAAACCAGAAATGCACCAGCAACTACATGGTCTAGAGAGTTTTGTTGAAACACTTGCAATGTTGCATCATTTCCCTAGCAGCAGTCACAATGTGGGGCTAGCTGCTCATGCTACCGTACCTACACAAAACACTTGTGAGAACGGTGGGACAGGAGAAGCGCAGTAGCGTGACGATTGCAGTGAAGTAGCTATTCTATACCGAGTAAAATAAGTTTATATACTGCCTAAAAAGTTTTCTTGTATTTTGGGATAGGTTGTGTATATCGCGATGTTGTTTTTGGAGTCGCGCTGTAAGAAGCGCACAGCCAAAGTCGAGTTGAGGTTCGACTATCTCTCGTTGATTTGACTTGGCTGTGGACCTCGACTTTAGCTGTCGATCTAGGTAAGCAATTATGTGTTTTTTGTCGCAAATGCCTATGAAAAGGCACTAGAAGGTACATGGCTGCTTATCTAGATACCTTTTGTTAGATACACATAGAAAATGCCTATGAAAAGGCAACAGAAGCTACTTGCAATCCTAACAGGTCCACAGCCAAAGTACGGCTGCTGCTTCACTGTTCAACCTCGCAGAATGGACTTTGGCCGTGGGTCTGTAAGACCCCAGATATCTTCTGATGCCTTTTCATATGCGTTTCCTATATATTTCTTATTACAAAATACATATCTCCTTATTTGGATCCGCAGCCAAAGTCCAATCTGCGAGGTTGAACAGTGGAACAACAATTGGACTTTGGCTGTGGGCCCGGTAGCTCCATACCCAAAGTCCAATTTTGCGAGGGAATACGATACTATCCATATAATATTATTTTATATAGATTTGCGTGTGCACTTGTCAATGAAAGATATATAGTTGCTTACCGCCAAGAGACCCCCAGCGACATCTAGTTTGCGAGGTTCGTGTAGACTCAAACAGCAACCTGACCTCGACTGGCCTCTGAAAGCGCAATATATTCGTTTTATCACTTCTTGAAACGATGTGCAAAGAAAGTAATTAGTAGAACACTTCATCTTTACAAGCTGCCGCAGGTTCCTCGAGTGTGGAAGGTTCTTGAAGATTTAACATATAGCCCCTGACTCATTCAAGCAATGAGAGCCTATGGATTTCGCAAGTTTGCAAGGTTCATGCATATTCAATAGACAATCCCTGACCTTTTGACTAAATAAGAGCCTATATATTTCGCAAGTTTACATGTTCGTGCAGATTCAATGCGCAATCCCTGAAATCTGTGGACCTTTGTAAGCCTAATTCAACTATTTAGCAATTCTAAATATGAAAATATATAGAAAAGATTTAGTAGACTACTTTATACTCTTCATATGCATGATCTCAGACCTTCGCGACGCCTGTGGTGAATTGCGAGTGTAATGTGACTGCTTATCAAATTTATATGCGAGCATATATTAGAAACAAGTTGGTGCAATACATTACATCTCTATTTATGCACGAACCTAGAAAAATTGCGAGTTTGTATGTACGAACCTACCATAGAAAACTTGCGAGTTTATATGCAACGGTCTTTTTAACAGCGCATTCCCTAGGTTAGCTTCCCGCAGGCATCTACTTATCTTGTATATATACTATCTATTTGTTTTATGTTATGTAACTATATAAGGTAGAGATGACTGAAAACTCTACTTTGTCTTTTGCTTTTTAATCCTTTAGTGAAAGATAAGCTTGAATAAGAGATAAAGCGGAAGCTGCTTTTGATGCTTCCAAAAAGTAACTCCAACTGCAGCGATAGCCGAAAAAAAGTAACAGAAAAAAAAGAGTTGGTGATCAGAATATAGATAAGTATCCTTTTGCACAAGATGCTCAACGCCAATCCTACACCACTGCGCCACCGGGCATTCTGGCGTCACCGACGTCTTCATCTTCAGCAGCAGATTCTTCGTCAATATAGTCGAAATCGCCCCCATCACCTCCTTCAAATGCCTCGGCAGCAATCTGCGCAATGTGTTCATCGCCATACTCTTCGGTTTCACAGCTATTAGCAGTAAATCTTTGGTAATGCGTGGTTTCTTTCCGGCCACACTCGAACCTCGAACCGTGATCCGGACGCCGCGAGGGCTGGAAGCTGGGCCGATTTAACCCTTGCATAGTCCTAGAAACGCTTTTATCTGCATCTCTATACAGGTCGTCGCTTTCATATGAGCCTTTATCAGCTTCTCCGAGACTGAGTCGTTGCATGTCTCTACTGGCGCTCTTCAATAAGCCTTCGTTACTTTCCTCAGGAGCCGAAAACTGCAGACACAATCGGATATCTTCGATCGAGCCTTCATTAACTCTCACCTGTAAAGTCTATGTGTCACGCCCGGTGTTCTCAAAATCTTCTTCATCGTGCTTAGACATTGCTTGTGCTGTGAGGGCGACTTTGAGTTCTGCTCAGTTCATTCGCGTTAGTATATATCGCGATAACGCGAGGCGTAGTACTCATAACCCATCAACGATACACTCACAGCTTCAGTAGTAAGAGTAAGTCTCTTCTTGACCCGTGCCGAGATATTGACTTGTTAGCTTGTAGTCCCATCTTGAGCTGGATTGTGAGAGAGTTTACATAAGTAGATAGTATATTTTATTTATTTGGATATTGCGCCCTTTTGTCAAAGATTTTGTTGTTTATGCTTCAAAAAAATAGGTCATGAATGGTTGCATTCACCAAATAAATACTTCCAACCAATGCGCAACACAATGTGGTAAACATTTAAAAGATGGCCAAACAAAGCCTTCCTTTCACCTATTTTTGTAATACTCCAAACGCCCCATAACCAGATGCGAGAATCACATGTCCATGCTCATCAGATACATTTCTAAGATGCGCATAAATTTGGCCACAAATGCTTCCAGATGAAAGATGACCTTGGTGCCAGTCTTTATTCGGTGCTCGTAAAAGGCAGACCACTTGATGACCTCTCCTTTCAGCCCATCGTCAATGAGACCCAGCAACTTGAAAGTGAGAGTCTTGAGAATGGTCGTGGGCGGGATGCAGTGCGTGAGTAGGTCGTATAGCTTGGCGCGCACCTGCAAGATCCTTGCGGGGGTGTGTTCCTCGATGATCTCCTTGGCGATCTGGCCGATTAGTGCCTCCCAATCTGCAGGCGGGATAGGCGTCGTGTCTGTTACTTTCTCACTGCGGTACAGAGTTAGCAACGAGCAGGAAAACGGAGCAGTTAAGCTGTCTGGCTCCCACTTACTTTTGTGCATGGACGGCCTCGTACATTAGCAATGCACGACGAAGATTTCTGCCACTCTCCACAGCTATTCTTTCATGCAGGCCTTTGACGACTTCCCAGTTCTCCTTCTTTGCCGATTGCGCAAGCACGTCGCAGATTTCCTCGTGCGTCGGAGCAGCAACTCTGACAAGCAGCGTTCTTGAACGAATTGGTGCAATGATATTCGCTGTCGAATTTGCCAGAAGAATCAGACGCAAGTTTGGCGAGTATTTTTCCATTGTACGACGAAGCGCCGCCTGGGCATCTCTAGTGAGGTGGTCTGCTTCGTTGATGACAACGACCTTGAATCGCTGCTTTGCGGACTGGTCTACCTGTTGCGTCTGCGCCACCTCTTTCAGGAGATCCTGCACGACAACTCGATCATATTGCCCCACGTCGGACGGCGTGATTTCCAGGTGGTAGTTCGAAGCGACAATGTTGAATTCCAGCTTTCGGTTGCTGGACGTCTGGAATACTCGTGCGTCGATCTTGATCTTCTCTACACCAGGGCCGAACAGCTCTTTCAGTGTTGCCACTATTCTTGTTTTCTTTCCAGCTCCTGATGGGCCGTAGACTAGAAGATGCGGGAAGTCGCCGCTCTGAGCCTGCATGAATGGGAGCGTTAGCTTTGTCATCGTGAAGTTGAATGTCAATTGGCATGGACGAGAGCCGTACGAGAGACTGAAGTCGGTCTGAAAGCTCTTGATGGTATGAAAGAGCCTCCAAGGACCGTGGGCGATGCTTGTCGACGATGAGAGCCATTGCGCCGGTAATTGAGCTGATGTGCTGATGGGTTGCAGCGAAGCTTCAGGATTTTGACAGATTGAAGACGCGTCGTCGCGTTAAGTGCTATAGACTGCACCGAGACCTTTAGTGGGGTGCTGCCTGCCAGCCACTGCCTAGCCATTTACCAGACCAAAGCGCAGAACGAATGCCACATCGAATTGATGCAGCCATTTGAGCTGTCTGGTATAGATCAATGCGTTCCAAAATATGAATTTCTTCCTAACACTCTACCTTTTGTTGATTTTCAATTGCTAATTATCGATAGTTCTATAGTATCTAGAATGCACATTTGTATCTGATACTATGAGCTTGGTGGGGTTAGAGCTCTGCAATCTTTGTGCCTGCATGCTCGTCACTCTTTTCATTCTTTCATCAGTCGGCTTTTATTTCATATATACAAGATTTCTATGGTACATGGAAGTCATCATCTTTTTTTATCGCTACTCATGAAGATCCAGAGGATGCCGATGGGCTTCCGGCCTCTGTGGCTGTTGTAGAGGGCGATGCCTCAAGGAGCTCTTGAGGGACAACTTGCTTCCTGGGTCTCTTCAGATCCTCCAGCGTCACACCATCCAGCTTGGTGATTCCAACAACAGGAGCATCTCCCTTCTTCACAAATTCCCACTGGCCTGCATTATAGTTAGCTTTGAGCCTGTAGTAGAGAGAGGAAAGAGGTTGCTTACCTGGAAGCTTGTTGCCAGCCAGCCGGAAGGCGTCTCGAACAATTTGCTCGTGGATTCGGCCTTTGATCTCAAACAAAACTTGGCTGACTGCCATTCTCGTAGCCCAGTGGTCGAATGAACCTTTTCCTTTTCCCATACGCATCTATTTCAATAGTTAGCTTGCTGCCGCCGCTCGAACAAGCGTACATTCGCTTCGCACCTCGTTACCGCTGACGTAAACGCCAACATTGCAGCATTTCCTCTTGTAAAGGCGGTATTTCTCTCCTCGAAGTCGCACTTTAATCGTATCTTCTGCCATCTTTAGCGACTTGGCGCTGATTCTTCGGTGATGGTCCACCATTCGCAGTCCGTAGTCGCCCCAAATGACAGTCGTGCCCTTCGTTGACCCTCCAGTCGCTACTCGGGGTCGGCCCTTGGCCATTTTCTTTTTTCGGTTCAGGCTGGGTTCGAGCCATGTGCCCATCATGGCGGGGCTTGTGGAAAAGGCTCTGCCATTCTGAAGCAGCTGAGCGGCGCCGAGGACCTTGGACTGGCGCTGGATGGGGGCCCTCAGTTGTCGCAAAGGCGTGGATGCGGAAATTCTCAGTCCCTGGAAGGCATTTAGCAATGCTGCAGTGCCATTGGACCTCATGGCGTCGGTTTTGGCTGCTGATCGAGGCTTGTCTGGAGATTGTCGCACCGCTGGGGCCTCGATATCTTGAAAATAATCCCAAGACGGCAAGCGCCAAAATCGCCGGCGCAAAGCGGGGCCTGAGATGTCAGGCCAAACATTTTCTGCTAATTAAGCTCAGGTCACGCACCTCGCGTCAGCTTCGCGTTGCGCCGCAGGTGGCACGTCACTGTAATAATTTCTAGGCTGCTCCTTCACTCTGCACGCCGCTAAACCCGCGATCAGGCAGGCAACAGCGCCCAGATTGTACCAAAAGAGGGTCTTTGTAGGGCTATATTTGTTCCTCTTCTTTGCCATCTCGTTTTTCTTTCATCGTTTTCTTTTTATACCGAGCAAGAAGATACAATGCCTGATATTCGGGCCTTCTTCACGCCAAAGGGTGGTGCGGCCGCCCCCCCAAAACCTGCGGCCGCCAAACCAGAGCCACCAGCGGCCAAAGGCAAGCGAGGAAGTAGGTATTGCTGAACCATGAGACTTCAATTGATACTTACCAATTTATAGAGAGCCGGAAAGTTGTTGAAGATAGCGAGGATGAAGCTGCAGAGTAATATTGGCCTCCGCCTCAGTATCGCATCTGGTTCACGCCCCACCACTAACCGGATTACAGAGAGAGGAAACCTGCGCCTAAGCCCCCGGCAAAAAAAAAGTATGTATTGTTGCATTATTTTGTATTTTGATTGAAATCCACTAACATCAATTCAGAGAGACAGAGCCTAAAGGGGTGGCCATATCTGCCGATGATTATTTCGCTTCTTCCAAAGACTCTAAAGCGGCCAAAGCATCGCCAACACCCAAGAAAAGCGCCGCCAAATCCACAGTCGAAATTGACGTTCCTGTTCGATCTAGTCCGCGAAAGAAACCTGCAGCAAAGGTAGCTGCACCGGAGGAAGACGAGGAAGAAGACGTAGCCCCTCGGTCCAAAAGAGCCAGGACCTCGTATAAACCGGCCCCCGTTCACGATGATGGGGATGCATATATGGAAGATGGCGATGAGGATGCCGATGACATATTCGCTGCTGACGCTAAGGGCCGCAGAAAGGGTGGAAATGACGAATATGAATCGGAAGAATCTGAAGACGAAGTTGTTCCAACATCCAAAGCACGAGGGCGAGCTGCTGCATCTGGAAAGAATTCTGCAGACAAACCAGCGTCCAAGGCCGGAAAGAAGCGAAAGTCCCCGGAGCAGGAATCGGACGAAGAGGAGGAAGAAAAGCTACCTCGGAAAAAACCTACAGCGAGCAAACCACGCGCACCCAGAGCGAAGAAAGCAGACGAGCCCGAGGACGAGAATATCCAGAACATCTTAGATAGTGTGGCTACTGTAAGAGCGCCGACACCACCACCTAAAGACCCCAACGTGAAATTCGATTGGAGAAAGGCCGCCGCTAGTGGCGGTAATGCTTCTACACAACCCGCTCAGCCTGCTGGCGAGCTACCGGAAGGCGAGGAAGAGTGTCTCAGTGGATTGACCTTTGTCTTCACCGGTGTGTTGCAGACTATTGGCCGCGATGAGGGCCAGGCACTGGTTAAGCGATATGGCGGCAAAGTTACTGGCCAACCCAGTAGCAAAACCAGCTTCGTCGTTCTCGGAGACGACGCTGGACCCAGCAAGTTAGCTAAGATCAAAGCAAATGGTATCAAGACCATTGATGAGCATGGCCTTTTCGACCTGATTCGCAAACTTCCGGCATTTGGTGGTACAGGCAAGGGCGCTCAAAAAGCACAAGAAAAGAAGAAGGCAGAAGAAGAAAAGGTGAAGCAGCAGATTGCGGAAATGGAGGCGGAAGAGAAAGCAAAGAAGCGAGAAGCAGAGAAAGCAGCAAAGAAGAAGGCCGCAGCTCAAGGATCAACGAGCAGCCCTGCGGCTCAACCTGCACGAGCACCCGATTTGCTTCTCACTTCCAAATATGCGCCGACACAGCTCAACCAAATATGCGGCAACAAGGCGCAGGTGGAAAAGATTCAAAACTGGCTTCGAAACTGGCCAAAATCAAAAAAGTACAATTTCCAGCGTCGTGGAGGAGATGGTATGGGAGGCGAGCGAGCTATCATTATATCTGGCCCTCCGGGTATTGGAAAAACCACGGCGGCGCATTTGGCGGCCAAGCTCGAAGGTTACGATGTCCTGGAGAGCAATGCTAGTGATACACGAAGCAAGAAACTCGTCGAGGCTGGGGTTAGCGATGTCATGAACAATACGTCTTTGTTAGGATTCTTCGCCGGAGATGGCAAATCCGTGGATAATGCCAAGAAGAAGATTGTCCTCATTATGGATGAGGTTGATGGCATGTCGGCTGGTGATCGCGGAGGAGTTGGCGCTCTGGCCAAATTCTGCAGGAAGACAGAGGTGCCGTTGATCCTGATCTGCAACGAGCGTAGATTGCCAAAGATGAAGCCCTTTGACCATGCTGCGTTTGATATTAGGTTCAATCGTCCGACGGTCGACCAAGTACGCTCCCGCATCATGACAATATGCCACCGAGAAGGCCTTAAACTGCCACCGCCAGTTGTCGACGCTCTCATTGAAGGAAGCAATAAGGATATCCGCCAGATCATTAACATGATTTCCACGGCGAAGCTTGACCAATCATCGATGAGCTTTGATCAAAGCAAAGCCATGTCTAAAGCATGGGAAAAGCATGTCGTCCTAAAGCCGTGGGACATCTGCCAGAAGATGCTTGGCGGTGGACTCTTTGCCCCCGCGAGCAAGGCGACCCTCAATGACAAGATTGAACTCTACTTCAACGATCATGAGTTTAGCTTCTTGATGATTCAGGAAAATTACCTCCGCACCAAACCCATGGCCGTGGGTGGCAATGGATACACCGGTCGAGAAGCCACTTTAAAGGCACTCGAGCTCTTTGACCAAGCTGCGGAGAGCATCAGTGATGGTGACTTAGTGGATCGTATGATCCACGGGCCACAGCAGCACTGGAGTTTGATGCCTACACATGCTATCTTCAGCACTGTAAGACCTGCCAGCTTCATCGCTGGCCAGCTGATTGGATCTAACTTCACTTCATGGCTTGGAAACCACAGCAAAACTGGGAAGCTGGGTCGATATATTCGGGAAATTCACTCTCACATGCGACTCAAATCATCTGGCGATCATACCGAGGTTCGACAAGAGTATCTGCCTCTGATGTGGTCCCAAACAGTTGATCGCCTGCAAAAAGAAGGTAGTGAAGCCGTGGGAGAGGTGATTGACCTGATGGACAGCTACTATCTCACCCGAGAGGACTTTGACGCCATTCAAGAGCTGGGAGTTGGTCCAATGAGGGAAGAAGATGTCAAAATCGAAACAAAGACAAAAGCTGCCTTTACTCGAACGTAAGTACTGCGTGTCCCATCGTAGATTTTTTCTCTTTACTTACTGGATATAGATATAATTCTATGAATCACCCACTACCATTCATCAAAGCTAGCAATGTGTTGGCTCCAAAGAAGCTCGCTAAGGAGGCGCCAGATTTGGAAGAAGCCATTGAAGAAGCAGATGACGCTGAGGTGTTGGAGGCTCCAGATGCCGAAGAAGATGACGAGATCGATTTCAAGAAGGACAAATACATCAAACAACCAAAGGCTAAGAAGCCATCAAAGAAGGCTGCGAAAGCCCAGACCGCAGATGACGAAGACAGCGAGGAAGTGAAGCCAAAGGGCCGCTCCAAGGGCAAGCCTACTGCAAAAGGAAAAGCAAAAAAATAAAGACGCGAGCATGGGGTAACTTCTCACCAGTCAGTCTCACGCGTGTAACATATAACTAGGGGAGAATTGTATGTTCTATTATCAACAGGCGAATGTAATGTTGCGAGGCGGTCATTGCATGTTAAAAAAAGAAAAGAAGAAATGGAACTCCAAGGCGGTACAGCAATCTGCAAGCATCAAATTAGAGGAGGAATCATTTGTGTTTCATGTCATTCGAGCATCAAATGTTACGACTGTTGATGTTTTAGAAATCGATTTCGTTTTTGGCCGAGTGGGATGGTAATTGTAGAAATAGGAATCATTCAAAGTCACAAAAATTTCTGGGATGTCATAGGTATGCATTGTTCCGCTTGGAGCGGTTGATTAGAGGGCGGCTCATCACCAGATAGCCGCTTAGATGACGCAAAGTCGTATATACATGTATGTTATATCTGTTCATACAGATGATTCTCTCTCTTTTTCATCCTCTTCAGTCTCACATTCATGTGTCCAACTTTTCTGGAGTGTAACCCAATTGTAACCCTTTTCCTTCGTCCCTCTTTCTCAAGGTTCTTTTCCCGAACCCACCATGCAATATGTTGTCATGTTTTTTCTTTCTTTTCAAAAACCGTCATCGTGAGAGGAGCATTATACATTTTTTGATTTCGTGACCCAACGCCAAGCCAGCGCAAAAATTCCGGTAATAGTACAGGTGAAAGAGGCGTTGCAATGATTTTTATTTCAGATCATTTCCATCCACGCTTCTTTAGGTATCCTTTTTTTGTCGAGTTTTTCTTCTTCTTTATGTCTTCGATTTGGAGTGTCTTTGAAAGATGATGCTTAGATAGAGAGAGAAGATTTCTTTTTTTTTTTTTCCAAAATATTAACTTCTTAAGCGTTCTTAACGACGCCGACCTTGGCAGCACGCAGAACACGGCCGTTGAGCTTGAAGCCCTTCTGCTGCACAAAGAAGACAGTGTTGTCCTCCTTGCCGGGCTGAGGGGCCATGAAGGTGGCCTCGTGCTCGTTGGGGTTGAACTTGACGCCATCGGGCTCCAGTCGCTCCAGGCCGTGTTTGGCCAGTGTCTGGATGAGGATGTTCTCGGTCATCTTGAGACCCTCATAGAAGTTGGCGAGCTCCTGGAGGTCCTCGTTCTTGTTCTCGGCTTTGAGCTTCTCCTGGGAGACGGTAGACAGGGCACGGTCGAGGTTGTCGACGCTGTCGACGAGGTCCTTTGCGAACTTTTGGATGGCGAAGTCGCGGGCGGATTTGACCTCACGTGCTGTGCGGTCCTGGAGGTTGCGGAAGTCGGCGACGGTGCGAAGGCATTTGTCCTGTAGTAGGGAAATGTTAGTAAGGGGGTAAGATTGATTCTGAGGGATCATATACGAACCTTCCAGTCACGAGCCTCAGCATCCTTGGCCTCGAGATCCTTCTTCAGCTGAGTGACAGCGTCAGTCTCGCCGTTCTTCTCTCCCTCTTTGGCCTCGGCCTTCTCCTCGGCCTTGGGAGCCTCCTTGGACTCTGTAGACTCTTTGGATTCGCTGTACCACCGGCTGGCGGCAGGCTGGAATGATCTTATTGAGACGGCGGGAGCAGCAGTCTGGAACTGAGGCCGCAATACAGCTCGGCTGGCGGCGATGCTCGGCGTTGAGCGCAGCGCCCTGGAAGAGGTGGCAATGGCTTGTCGGAACATTGTGAAAGAGAGTTAGGGAGATGTGAGATCGGTAGAGCGCTGGAGAATGGGCCAATTGGGCAAAATGGAGAGTTGGACGGCAATGAGGTTTGCTATATGAAATTATACGCTCGGCGCCTTCGATGCTCTTCTATATGAGGGGAGCCCGCTATAAAAATTCCATTGCGCTGCATGACTGGCCCGCCCCTCCGGCCTGCACCGGTTCGGTTCAGCCCACCCAGCAAACAGCCGGGGCGGATCATTTGACGGTCCGCATTTCCCAGCTTGTGCCCAGCAGCTTCCATGCCGCAAAAAGTGGGCAGAGGTAGCCGCTACTGTTTACGGCATGGTTTCGATGGCCTCTGACTAAGTACACTATACCTACTTTGCAGCCTTGACTGCGGGCTACGTCGCGCTGTGTCTACCTGGAGGGACAAGCGAAGCTCGGATCGAGACTGTGCATCAGCTTCAACTTCCACTTCCACAACTCCATCAACCGCCCATTCGAGCATCAGACGAGCGTTTTCCGTCTTTCTAGCAGCAGAGACATAGAAAGCCGTATCGATTCGACCATCTAAACAACCCTCCGCCTCTCGCAAACCCCTCCCGAAGCTCTCTCTCGATTCCAGATCCATCTCCCACCATGGCCACCCTGGTCAAAGAATCCCCAGAGCTGGTCAAGGCGGACCAGAAGCAGGCTGCGGCAGAGCTGGCGAAGAAGGATCCTAGAAAGGCGGAGGCTGCGTTTAGAGAAATCATATCAAAGGCACCCGCGGCCACCTCAGACGCCGCTACGCGCGAGTACGAGACTGCGTTGCTGAGCTTGGGCGAACTCTACCGGGATGAGAAGTCAGTAGCAGCGGCGACTATTGCACTCCATTGTGCCTTTATGAGGGCTGAAGTGAGCTAACCTCTCCGACAGGAAGACTCAGGAGCTTGTAAACCTGGTGCGGGAAAGTCGGACAGTATTCTCATCCTTTGCCAAGGCCAAGTCCTCCAAACTGGGTATGTCATTTTATGCTACAGAACTGAAGAGTTATAGCTTGAGACCCCAGTGTGACTGATGTGTGATGTTATTATTTAGTTCGTCAGCTTCTGGACTTCTTCAAAGACATCCCCAACAGCACCGACGTCGAAATTGCCGTCACAAAAGACTGCATAGAATGGGCCACCGCCGAGCGCCGTGCCTTCCAGCGCCAGGACCTCGAAGTCCGCCTCGTCACCCTCTACATGTCCAAGCAAACCTACTACGACGCTCTTACACTCATCAACGGCCTCCTCCGCGAGCTCAAGCGCCTCGATGACAAGCTCCGCCTCGTCGAAGTACAGCTCCTCGAATCTCGAGTTTACCACGCCCTGGGCAACATTCCCAAGGCCCGTGCCGCCTTAACAAGTGCGAGAACGAGCGCTGCCAGCGTTTATACCCCGCCGCTGCTGCAGGCCAACCTCGACATGCAGAGTGGAATGCTCCATGCTGAAGATAAGGACTTCAACACGGCATTCTCCTACTTCATTGAGGCACTGGACGGATATCACACCCAGGAAGAGTCTGGCAAAGCCCAAGCTGCGCTGCAATACATGCTCCTCTGCAAGATCATGCTGAACCTCGTTGAGGACGTCAACCAGCTCATGGCATCCAAACAGGCCGTCAAGTACGCCGGCAAGAACCTCGAGGCCATGAAGGCCATTGCCCGCGCCCACGCAAACCGATCCCTGGAAGAATACGAGCGTGCCCTGTCAGCCTACCGCTACGAGCTCGGCAGCGATACCTTTATCCGCAACCACCTCCGCCGGCTCTACGACGCCATGCTGGAACAGAACCTTATCAAGGTCATTGAGCCCTTCTCACGAGTCGAGATTGACCACATTGCCAAGATGGTGGGCCTGGACACCCAGCAGGTTGAGAGGAAGCTGTCACAGATGATCCTCGACAAGGTCATTATTGGTGTTTTGGATCAAGGTGCTGGCTGCCTTATCATTTACGACGAGACGCAGAGGGACGAATCGTATGACGCTGCTCTAGCAACGATTGAGAAGCTGAGCAATGTGGTGGATGTGTTGTACACTAACCAGGCTTCTATGCTTGAGTAAAGTTGGAGAAGAAGAAAGAAGAGTACCATGGCAATGGAGGAGGGAATGATGGCTACCTAGACAAACGGGTCTCGTATTGTAATGTGTCAGTCAAATCAGGTAGATTAGGCGTTGGTTTATCGAAAAGACCCGTCCGTTCCTACTGAAATAACCCATCTTACCTATAAACCGCTTATGATGAAGGGAACTCAGACAAAAGGCTAGTAGTTGTCAAGTGTTTTTGTTCTCTACTCATTCATCGTGCCGTAACTCATTCCGTAGAGATGAGGCAATACAGAAAGAAGTATTCTAGATATCCGTAGGTAAAAGTAACACTGGTGGTACATCCAAGTACAGCCCCCTAAAAACAGAAGAGAATCCTGCTCTCCCAATACATGTTTGCGTGAGAAACAAACAACCAGAGCCGCTTGAGTGGTATCTTTTCCCTTTAAAGACAACGTGATGGGAGAAAAAGCAAACCAAGCCAAAACCGGAGCCGACCGAACCAGAGAATAAATCAAGGAAAAAACAACCATCCTGTTTCCAACGCCACGCATGCATATACATAATTCTCTTTTCATTCCTAATCCTTGTTTTCCAACACCGGTGAAATGCCATGTCAAAATTTTAACACAAAAAAGAAGAAGAAGAAGAATAGAAAAGACAAGACAAGAAAAGTCTGGCCTTGTGCCAATGTGTAGTCGTAAATAAGCAATCCTGACAATAGCAATAAAGCAAAAAAAAAAAAGTCAATAGGCTCTTCCGTCCCAGTTTCATTCAGTGGAAGATAACTCCGGGGGACCGATTGACAGAGCTTCGACGGCGTTTCGCCTCTCCGAGAATAAGTGCAAATAATCTTTTAGCGAGTTCGCCTTCATCCCAGCCACCAATCTGGGATTTAAAGGCGTCAATACATTCGAGGTGCCATTTCTCTAGTACCATGGATTCGCCCATGCTAGTAATCGTTTTTCCGAGGTACTTTTGAGAAACAGGAGCGTATTTTTCGCTATATGGGCTCTTTCGTCGCATTTGTAGGAGTGTGTCGAGGAATAGCCAATGCTGACGGGTCCAGACCGTCTCAGAGGGCGGTTCCCGTCTCCGCCGCTTCTTTGTCGGTCGTTTCTTTGTTACGCCCGCAGGCCTAATAAGCCTTGATGGAATGGTATTTGGCGGCTGTTTTTGCTGTTGCCTACTGGCCATGCTTCCCTTGCCTGCCCGCGGATCTACGACGTTGATGTCCTCCTCTGGTATTTCTTCGTTTGCTCGGTTGCGGAGCTCGCGAAGACGAGCTTGCTCTGCAGGTGATAGCACGTTGCTAGTGAACTCAACAACTCGCCCTGGTGTATGTGGCTTAAGAGGAGATCTTAGACTTGATTTCTTTGGTGAGGCATGTTTTGGTGGCAGTGGCCTCAGTAAAAATTGAGAGTTTGAGGAATCTTCACTGGCATTTGACGTTTCTTGCTGCCACTTCTGAATATCGTGATGAGTCAACTGCGTTCTCGGTGGTGTCGCCGTGGGACGCGACAAAGAGTGCTGGAAGAGTGGGTTACTGGCCTGCCTTGGCCGCGGCATAAAATTCTGCTTCTGAGAAATGGTAGTAAGATGAGATCTTTCAGGAGAGCCTGGAGATGATGAGCGTTCGTTCGTTCGGTCATCATCCTCTATTGGGTCAGATTGCATTGGCGAAGATACAGGATCTGCACGACGAAGATCTGGCTGGATATTATCATTCGGAGGAGCTCTCGGAAACAATGACACAGTGGGCATCGCTGGAGGCTCCTGTCTAGGCTTGGTAGACTCCATTTGTTGAGCAGCTGGCTTCACAAGACCTTTGGATTTGGGCGACCTGAATTTCTCAGCCAATATTCCTGTGATGGCGGCTGGTGAGGAGAAAAAGGATGACAGGTCGAATCGCTTGGGTTTAGTTGCAGGTTCTGGCTCCTTGTCTTGTCGGCGGCTCCGTAAGATTAGAGAAGGCTCTTCGTCTCTAATATCCCTGTTAGACTGCCGATTGATTGTCCGTTTTAATTGAGCTGTCTTTGACGCATCAGTAGGAAATTTGGTGGTCGCTTGTCGTGTATCTCTCCAAGCTGTTGAAGGAACTGGCACCGGGTTTTGAGCTTGTGTCGAAGGCACTGTCGTGGACTGCAGCGTTTCATAAGGTAGTTCTGGACGAGGTGGAACCTCCCGCTGAGCTGCGTACTCCCAAATATCGATGTCGTCGTCGTCCTCCTCCTCCTCGTCCTCGTCCTCCTCTTCCTTCTGTTCTCCTTCAGGCTGTACAATTTCATTCTGTTGCCTTTCCATTTCTTTGTCCGGGAGCTCCTCTTCCACTTCTTCTTCCTCCACTCGCTCTTCGTCTACTTCTTGTTCGTCCACGTGCTCCTCTTCCACTTCTTTGTCCTGATGCCACTCTTCAATTTCTTCTTCCCCCACGTGCTCTTCGTTCAATTCTCGTTCATCCATATGCTCCTCCTCCATTTCTTCTTCCATTTCTTCTTCCATTTCTTCTTCCACTTGCTCCTCTTCCACTGGTGCGTCTTCAATCTGCTCTTCCTCGGCCATATCCAGCTCATCTCCTGCACCGTCAAGCTGAACAATGGGTTTGGTAGGTCTCATAACGGATGAACGCGCTGCTTGTAATAACGACTTCTCTCTCCTCTCACTGGGACTTGATGGGCCCTCGTTTTCCGCCCAGTGAGCGGCACCATTGCTCGACGGGGTATTGCCCAAAGAATTTGCTATCGACTCTCTTGATAACAGTCGTTTCTTATGCGCAAAATCTCTTGTACCGTGGCCGTAGGCAGTGTCCGCCCCACCTGCGTTCATACTGAAAGCCTGAGTCTCAGCAGTAGACTCATGTGTCAAAGGAGCCTTGACAACAGTCACCTGGCTGCTGCCAAAATTCATCGGCTGTGGCGGACTTTTGTTTAGAAGTTGGTGCCTGTCTTCTTTAGAGGCGTATGACGGCTCTTTATTTGCAGAACTTCTGAATGGACTTCCTAGGGACATCTCTCGGACTCTTGGGGAGGGAGGGTCTGAAGTAACGCTCTGTAAAACTCGGCCAGCTCGCATAATTGAAGAAAAGTTAGATCGTACTACCTTTTCCGGTACCGGTTCGTGCGGTAGAGATTGAGGCTCCTGGAGCGGCGACGACATCTGATGGAGCGGCGTAACCTTTGCTGGCTGCTCTTCCCGCTCTGGTGTAGGCTCTAGCTGTTCAGGTGGTTGCTCTGGAGAAGCAGAACGCATTTCTTCGTCAACATGAATGTCATCGTGAGCTGGCTGCTCGTATGTATAATTGCCTGCTCTCATACGGGCCGAAAACTCGTCGATCTGAAATTTCGTGGGATTTTTCTCTTGATATTCGTCATCTTCATTGAATTCAAGTTCGTGGTCATCATGCTGTTGGTCTTCGTGCTCCTCATGCGCTGGGTATTCTTCCATATTCTCTTCTTGCTCGACGTATTCTCCCATCTCCTCTTCTGGCGAATGGGCCTCGAGGTCCTTGTGGTGCTCTTCAAGGTCCTCCAGTTCTGCTTGTTCCTCGTACTCTTCGACTATTTCCGGCTCCTCGTTTTCGTGTTCTCCTACTTCAGAATTTCCTTCTCCCTCTAACTCTGGCAGGTCAGAATCGAGCCTCTGCTCTTGCTCAAAGTCCTCTTCATGCCCAGGCTCTTCGTACTGGTCTTCGTGCTGCTCTTCGTAATGTTGTTCGTGCTGTTGTTCATCCTGATCCTCTTGCTCTTCGTATGTCTCGTGCTCGTCATGCTCGTCGTGCTCGTCGTATGGGTTGTCTTCCTGTTCCTGTTCTCCTCCTTCCTCTCCCCCTTCCTCTTCGCCTTCCTCTTCGCCTTCCTCTTCGCCCTCTTCCTCGATTATATGCTCCTGTTCGATGACATGACGCACGGGGGAGCTCATCTCAAAGGTTGATAGTCTTCTTCTAAGATATCCTATCATACCACCCAGCACGCTGCCTCTAGTGGCATTTTCTTCCGGTGGCCCTTCATCCTGCTCCTCTAATGGTTCTTCCTCCAATTCTTCCTCTATTTCTTCTGCCGGTTCCTCTTCCAGCTCCTCTTCCAGCTCTTCTTCCAGCTCTTCTTCCAGGTCCTCCTCCTGTTCTCCTTGAGGCTCCTCTTGAAGTACTTCTTGGGGTTCTTCAAGGGGTTCTTCAGGGGTTTCTTCATGGGATTCTTCATGGGGTTCGTCAATATCTTGAGCATGTTCCAGCTCGGCCTGCTCCTCATCCCCTCCCCCCAGCCCAAATTTCATCAAATCAACCTCTCGGTCAGCTTGAGGGGCAGAAAAATTGATCGGCTTAGGAGTCGGAGCATCGAGGTAAGTCTGAGGAATCTCGGAGAAGGAATCGCTACTCGGATGCTGTTCGCGAGAGTACGTGGACACCGTCTGTTTCCCAGCCTTAGTCGGTGTCGGCTCTTCCGTGTGCTCTACGCTGAATATTCTCCCCGATCGTTTTGCGGCCGATCTCATTAAGGCCTGGTGTTTAAGCGGTGATTGTCCCATCTTCTTAGGTTTCCGGGACCACCACGGACTCAAGCTTAGGCGCACACTTCTGGCAGCATCGCGTATAATTGGAACGAATACCTCTTCTGCTGGTTCTTCAGTCTCGGGAATGTCGGGGATCGCGATTGTTTCCGTGGCATCCTCTACTGGGTCGCTGCTCTGCGCAACTTCTCGCCTGAGGGACGCTAGAGTGTTGTTAATGATAAGATGTGTCTCCTCGCCAACCTCATCGTCTTCGTCTAAAGTGGAAATGAAGGTGCCGTTGGCGCTGAGGTTCCCCCGGAATGATGGAATAGAATCCATGAAAATCATACTAAAGTCTTCGCCCCGTGCAATGGTATCGCCGTACTGGGAGCTAAAGTCATTAGGGTGGTCATCCACGGAAGAGTGATCGCTAGTTTCTGGAGCATGATAGCTATGATCGGTCTTTCTCCTTCTCGCACTACCGCCTGTTGATCTGCCCTTTGAAGGCGACTGTGTCGCCGAAGGTCGTGCCGTGGGTCTAGGCGTCGTTTCATCGACTATCGTTCTCATCCATACGTCGGATGCCGCGTCGGCATTGGAGACCGCGTCGCCATCGGCCTGCTGCCGTGAGTGAGCTTGTACGGAATTTGCTCTGCTTGCTTCAATTGTCCGGCCGCTATTCTGTGCAAAGCTCCTCTCCGCCGCTGCTTCCGCTTCCGCAGCTATTTCGACCAATTCATCGGGCGCCATTGCTCGCCTTCTCCGCCCTCTTTTCGTAGCTCCAAGCTCGCTGGATGGTTCGACAACTGGATTCTTGGGCGGACGCCCTCGTCTTGGAGACGCCTTTGGTGTGGTGGATGGGACATTCTCCGGGTTCTTGGGCGGGCGCCCTCGTCTGGGCTTTCGTGTGCTGGATTCGATATTCTCCTTCTCCTCAAAGTGTAGCTCCGTAGCATTTCCTTCTGTGAATTCCTCGGTGCGTTGGCGGCGTGATGAGGTTCGACTAATCGGTGATGCTGCCCTCCTCTTCACCCCCGCAGTCGGCATGGGTGTTCCATTTAATAATCGAGGGCGGCTCCGTCTCCACCCCGGCGTCGTCGCTGTTGTGAGTTCATCGTCGGCGGATTCCCTCAGCGGGACTGAGGTTGTAATTGTATTATCGCCAATGCGCCGCACTGTGGGCGACTGAGGCACCGGGGACCGAAACAGCTTCCTCCTCGTGCCGCCCGGAGCCGTGGCCATGATGTTGTTGGCTCGATGGCCCGCCGTCTCGACTGTGGCCAGTAACCGCTACGGCGACGAAGACTCTTCTGCTTCCAACTCTATAATCTGTTCTCTGGATGACTCGGCTTGCGATGTGAAATTTTGCGATCGCTGGCTGCGCGTGACGCGTCGCGACACGGACTGAGGCTCAAAGCTAGGAAACGATATAGTGGGTTCATTCAGCGGGTCAGGCGAGGTCATAACATCAACGCTAGGCGTGTTGGGGTCGGCGATGATGTGCCAGCGAGGGTTGAAGGATGGTATTTAGGCATCTGCAGCAAAGAAAGGCTTCATTCCCAGATCTGGGTCCGTGTTGGCAGGGGATTAAGCGCAGGGCCAGCCACCGCGTGAATGAAGCTTAGAATCCAACCTAGGTGAGGAGGTACTGGATAGCGACCGTGACGTGGAAAGCTACATTGAGAGGTCTTCCCAATACTGCCAATAGCGGGTTAGCGCCGGAATTTTGTTCCGATGGTTTGCTGGTTTGAGCTTTTCCAAAACTCTCTTTGCTCTGTTCGCAGTATCATTATTCCGGCGCCGCAACCAGTAATTGTCACTGCTTACTTCGAACGTATTGTTTGTCCAAGTTCCTATAGCAGTACGGAGAACAGCAGTAAGCTCAGTAAAATCCGCTCCTGATTTCCCTAGATTCGCCCTTTTTCAGCTTTTAACAACGGCAGGATATAGGCTAGATACTATCTCATAAATAAAACTCACCATTGCAGCTCAACATCCTCGTCAAAACTCACCGTCCGCAAAACCACCCCGCCAAATGTCACATGCAACGCCCCGAAGCTTCACCACGCTAGCCGGGCTTCCCCGGGAAAAGGCATGACTTCATTCCAGCGCACTTTGCCGCGCTAGCGTGAGACAGCAGCCAGTCTCCAGCACCTTTACTCAGCCAAAAACTGCCCGAGACCCTTTCACCACATACCCAAAGGGTACCTCGGCTTGGAATCCATCAGGGGCCCCGTCTAAGTCGGTTAAACATATAGACAGCCTCTGCCTCGCCTGCCGTTATAGCATCTGGCATTTGCACAGTCGCATGCGATTTGGCCAAGGCTGTTTATTATAACTAATTTCTTTTGTTCTTGTTCACCTTGCCGTTGGCTGGTATTCAAATAACAACGTATCACTGATCGCGAGGGTACCGCTCTTCTCCCACACCGAATAACTTTCCGCCTCGGTCTCTCGGAACTCGAATACAATGGCTGCCAAAGCTCCGATTCCTCAAAACGACAATGTCGCCCACGCTCTTGCTGGAGCAGGCGGCGGCATTCTGTCCATGATCCTGACGTAAGATGCTCCTGCATCCAGCTATTAATCGCGTTTTCGTGGCCTCTGGGTCTTTTTCCCGCCTTGCGCATCGCATATCGCGACCGTCCTCGACTAACATCCATTCTCCCCAGCTACCCTCTCATCACCCTCTCCACCAGAGCCCAGGTCGAATCCAAAAAAGCCGAGAGCAAATTCGTCGAAGCCGTCCAAAAGATCATTGCGCGCGAGGGCGTCTCGGGCCTCTACGCGGGCATCAACTCTGCGCTGTTCGGCATCAGCGTCACCAACTTCATCTACTACTACTGGTACGAATGGACCCGGGCCTTCTTCGAAAAGGCCGCCACCCGCGCCGGCCGCGCCAGCAAGAAGCTCACGACCATTGAGTCCATGATCGCGGGCGCCATCGCCGGCTCCGCGACCGTCATCATCACAAACCCCATCTGGGTCGTCAACACGCGCATCACCACGCGCCGCCAGAACGCGGATGATGTCGAGGCCGGGGCCGGCACCGTGGCCAAGCGCAGCAAGGCTCCCAGCACGATTGGCACGCTCATGGCCCTCTTGAAGAACGAGGGCCCCCAGGCCTTGTTCTCCGGCGTCATCCCGGCGCTGGTGCTAGTCATCAACCCCATCCTGCAATATACGCTCTTTGAGCAGATGAAGAATACGGTGGAGAAGAAGAGGAAGATTACTCCGACCGTGGCATTCGTGCTGGGAGCCTTGGGCAAGCTGTTTGCCACATCGGTGACATACCCTTATATCACTGTTAAGAGCCAGATGCACGTCGCTGCCCACTCTGATAAGAAAGAAGGCATGTCTCAGACTCTGAGGCGTGTTGTGAAGGATGAAGGGTACTCTGGCTTGTACAAAGGTGAGCCGGAATTTCAGCCCGAAGGCATTATTAATGAAAACATCGACTAACAAGATACAATACAGGCATTGGCCCCAAGGTTACCCAGAGTGTCCTGACGGCGGCCTTCCTCTTTGCCTTCAAGGACGTTCTCTATGAGCAGATGGTGCGACTCAGGATGGGCCGCAAGAAGGCGTAAGTGACTTACACCGCAAGATTGGTTGTTTGCGAGCAACAAATGCGTCAAACGTCTCTTGGCAACTTCTGTTCGCAATGCAAGGAGGGCTCATTGGAGAACTATTAGATAGAGGGCCGTAATGTCAGGCTGTACTATTAGTGTAATTAGTATAGGTGAGGTGGAATCGACGTGGGTGGATAATATCCCCTATCGGTAGGTATAGAGCTGGTTTGATGGAATTATTTTCCAACAGGTTTTGGGTTTGACGAGTTGAACGTACATATCACGATTGGATACCTCGAGACCTGTTGTCTCTTTTTTTCCCCCTTTTTCTCCCTTTTCAGATGATGGACATGGAAAAAAATAGTAAACACGACTTCAATTAGTTTTTTTAAGCTCTTCCTTATTAAAATCCTTACTTTCAGTTTACACCCATTTATGCTACAGGCAGCACCTTTGGAACAATCCACCACTCGTGATACGCCTTTTGTGGAGTCGGAACTTCCACCTTAATCTTCAGATTATCCAGGCTCGGCGAAGTCTGAATCGCCTTTTGCACCGCCGAAATGGCAAGCTTCGTGGCAATGCACGACTTGAGGCCATTCTTGACAGACGCAGACCACCGAGCGTGAGAGCCCACTGAGAAAGACTCCTCAGCCGACATCTTGCTGAGAGCCTCGAAGCCTCGTTTGGCACCTTCCACAGCGCGCTCTGCATACTCAAATAGCTCATCGATTTCGGTGTCGGGCTGCAACGTACCCGCTGTGAATTCTTCAAAAGTGGGTAGGACCGGGAGGCCAATTGGCGAAAAGGGCCTCATTCGGATCTCGTATCGGAGTTCGTCGGTACTGTAGGGCCTTGGCGGAACTTTGATGAGCTTGAGGCGATTTAGGACGGTGTATAGACATGACAGTGAATCGGATAGCTCCCAGGTTACGGCGGCGTCGAGCAATGACAGGCGAGCGTACATTAAGGACCGCTGAAGCTGCGAGTCAAGGGTGGGATTTGAATATGCTGGTCGTCCATGTATCTCTTCAACTCTCTTAATCACGAATGATTTGATTCGTTCGGTGTGGTGAAGACGAGATTTGGAGATGTAATTGAGGTACCAGTACATGCCGGCGAGTTCGTCAGTTTGGTAAATCTCCAGCTCAAAGCCTAGCTGGATGATCTGCTCCATTTGGCGGAGCTTATATAGATATGTCCATGACGACAAGGGCAGCGAATAAGACTCCATGCCGCTGCCGCTCATTGGCGTTCTGTACATGGTTGGCCGCTCGTCAACCTTGACTTGGAGGATCTGGTCGATTTCCTCTGCGTCCATCTGCAGGCTCTCCCAATCGCGTAGAAGATGGCAAAGGGTTCTCCTCACGCGGCAGCGGTTCTGGCATGCTGTACGGAGGATATCTAAGAATGGCTGTGCTGCTCTGGTCCTGAATAGCTCCATCTGCTGCGCCATGGCATATCGTGGGTCGTGAACAACCTCAATCTCGTCATTTGCTCTGTCTAGGTATTGATGCGCCGGCATTGTGAGAATAGAAAAGTCATCATCAAGAAGTTGGCGAATACTCATGCTTCCCAAGACCTCCATAGCATCGAAGAGAAATGTCTGCAGTAATGTTCGCACATAGACAATAGGCTGTGGCTTCTTCGCTTGAAAGCAGGTTACAAACGTCTATGGCTCCTCGTCAACATCAGTAATCACTTTTTATTCAAGCCGGTGACACTTACAAGCAAGCTCTGAGAATCTGTGTAATTCAAGACGTCGATTAGTTCGAGGCCATCTGCAAACAAGCCCTTTAGGTGACCAAAAGCAACGTCAAACTCCAGTTGAACAATGGGTCGTGGAGGCATGGTACTCGCTAATCGCCGTTGAAGCGTAGCGCTGAAAGCCTCGTCAACCGGCACGGCCAGAGTGTGCGTCTTGTTGAGATTCGGTAATAACTCAAGGCCCTCTCTCCAAGGCTTTTTCGCCAAGTTGGGCTCTTTCATATGCTTGGGGCATTCCACGGCGTCCAGGAATATGCGTCTCAACTCCAATCGGGTCAAAAGAGCCTCAACAAGATTGTCAGGCATAGAATCTCGTTGCGACCTGAGGGCTGCAATGGCCTCTATCAAGACGTCACGTATCGCACTTGTTGGTAGACTTGCTAAGAGAGTGCGATTATATGTGGTGGTGACAAAATCTTCTTCCTGAATTCAAGGTTGAATTTAATAACAAAGAGTCATTATTGTTGCCGTGATTTGGAAGACTAACCTCGTAGTAGTGCTCTGATTTGATCCTTTCATTCACATAGCCACAGCTTTTCAGCATACCTAGACAATATGCTCGGAGGACCTGTAGCATGAGCTGTTCATTTGGATCCTGGGTACCGTTGCGAACGAAGGTGGCCTCTTCAATACTTCGAGGTTCCGGCATGGATAGGGCCTCTACGTAGAAGCTGGTAAATAACGTTTGAGACAGAGGATAGCCTAGATGCCATGACATCTAATAAAACATGAGCACTTGGGGCATGGCACGGCCGGTACGGGCCTTTGAACTAACCTCATGGCATAAAAGCTGATCCATGATACCCAGCACCTCTTCTGGCAGCAGTGATCTAGAAACGTCGTAGGTCTCCTCAACTTCAGCCCCCGGGCGGCTGCATCCACTATCCATCTTGGGATCCATGATCTATCATCATGTGAGAAGACAAGAATCCTTGCAAAGCGCAGTTTAGCATGACTACGCACCTCCAAAGCTGCGACCGAGTCAAACAGCGTAAAGAATCCATCCTTGACGATTGATCCGGGCTCAAGAGCTGTGGTTTGAAATCAGCTTACTGTGCACTGCAGCTCAGATAACACGAGGATGCGCCGGCTCACTCTTGACGGCTTGTGAAAACTTTGTCGTTATATCCCCGGCAATAATGCCATCGCTTTTGATATTGGGCGGCAGCGCCTCTGGAGGAGCAGAGCCCTGGCCCAGCGATAATCTCGCGATTTCTGCGCAGCCTCTGGGTTAGCCAATGTTTTGAGGGCGAGGGGCAAGAGACTCTGATGGTTCTCAGCCCATCATTTTTTTTCCGCACCATCTGGTACCCCAACTCCAAAGTCCGCCATGTTGTAGAAATGGGTGATGCCTCAGGTGAAATGTATTGGCATTATTGCGCGGGCGATTAGTCTCGAATCAAAGATGGAAAGCAGCAGTAAAGAGTTCTTTATTCTCCCTCGCGCGTGGCTTGAAATGGGTCTGCTGTTGACAACCACTAAAGTCACTCTTCGCGGGCCGAGACACAGACCTAAAGACAGTGCTAGGCGATTGAACGATGGCACCTTCCGCAGCAGTTTATTTTTTCAACAGGAATTTTAAGTAATTGAAAGCAGTCGAATCGCAGAATCTAGTTGCTAAGGTCAAAAAAGTCAATTTCTCTTGGATTTAACAGGCCGCGGCATCAGCATAAGACGGTACGAGGCTTCAGTCGCATTCCCCACCATATACATTTTGCTAAGCAGTCACACCCCTCACATACCGCATATACTTTCAACGGAACATTACGGCAGAAGCTTTACCTTAGAAAATGCCCCATAGCCCGGATACAATGATTCATTTGCCATAATATATTGGTGTATTGCAGCACTTATTTAATTTACAACGCCAGCAATATGGAGTTCTAACCCATTTGCACGGCTCTTCTCATCTCGTTTCCCACCGTCTATTGTACGATCACTCCTCCCTCCATCTCATCCACTTAGTTCTTTTCCACACATCCGTTTTAAGAAGAGGCGTTCTCGGCAATGGCAGCATTGTTCGCAGCGTTAAGGTCTCGGGTCTCGCCGGCCTTGCCGTTCTGTTGAGGTATTAACAATCCGGTTCCTGCTTGTTGTCTATGCGCCCATTTCACATACCTTCCAGGTAGCAAATCGCAGCTCGGAAGTAGCACGGCGCTCAGCGACAATTCGCTTGTCCTCCTTGAGGCTTCGTCGAATGGCGCGGGCCGAAACGGCCAGGAAGCGGTTGTAGCTATATCACAGCATGTTAGCTGAAGGGCTCGCAGAGTCGGCCGGAAAAAGTCGCAGCGCAGCGGTCGAGAGGGTCATCGAGACGGCGGAGGCGAGTGCGCTACGGCAGGGGATCAATCGACGTACGTCAAACCGGCGGCTTTCCACGCAGCAGTCATCTTGGCGGAGGGATGGGTTAAACGGCGAAAAGAAGCGTTGTTAATGATCCCGACTGAATCTTTGCTAGAATCGAGCGCTCGACAATGCGCTAGCGCGCCTGAGGTTTCAAAAAGTCACGTGCGCTGTTGAGTGCTGACTCAGCGGATACACCCGACTCTACTACTAGTATGTATTGCCCGTTTCGTACGCTGCTGCTGACATGCCGCAATTCTCGTTGAAACTGGCCCGTCTATGGTCAAGTCCGTACGTGCAGCCCAGGGTTTGATCTGATCTGGAAAATTCGACTTAACTCCGTGCTAGGGTTTTCATTATGGCCGCGACAAATCTAGCACAACCCGGACGATGAAGTAAGCAAGCTGCTCTGCTGAGCTGAGACATGCCAGGCGCAGTTCTGAAATGCTTCCTAGTGGTAACGCCGCCTATTCAAGGCGGAGAACTTGATTATGCCAATAGAATCTCCGCAAGCTGAGACACCCAGTTATCTGCAAAGGACAAGGGTGCAGAGATGCAATTCCCCATATCGGGCAGTTTGCTCTCTATATTTCCGCTTCTTAGGGCTCTCCGTGTCCTCGATCATGAAAGCTCCTTAATCACACTCGTAAGAGGCTTTGGCCTCTCTGTATTGATTTGTGGCAACCCTCTTATTTTTTATCCATCCCAGAATATTAGTTCATATTCGTTTCAAAGATGTCGTCTAGACGACGGCCACAGGAAATCATACTCCCTGATGGCAAGAAGATAATCGTAACGCTGCCAGAGGACCTCGAGGACATTCGCCGCAAATATCCCAGGGACGGCGACATACAAGTCGAAGTGGTGGTCCACGGCTCTGTAGAGCACAGTCATTATCTTCGCCAGTCGCGAGACCATCATGAAGAGCGCCGACAATTGCTACGGAAACAACATGGGCCTGCCTTTGAAGAATGGGAAGATATCCAGTCGCAACTTTCCTCGGTGACTGCAGAGCTAGAGCGTCTGGAGAACCAAGCATCGGGACTCTATGGTAACTTTAGTAAATTTGGTTACGATGCTGCTATACGGACATACAGCGACGAGGATCCTCCTACCGCTTCTTCACACGCGTCTATATCAGAGAAAGTCGGCGAGCAGCGAAATCAAGACGGCGACCGTCATGGGGAGACAACCAAGCTATTCAAGCGGCCTGTGATTAGGCAATGGTTTCATCAGGGTCTGCTATGGAGAGCATCTGAGCAGACGGAAGTCATGGCCATCGAGCTCTTTCTCGATCTTGTTTACGGTACGATATTGTTTGCTCAACGACTCGAATGAAATGGAGCAGCTAACAATGCTTACTAGTGGGCATCATCCATTCCAATGGCGAGCACATGGCGGAAGAAGCGACTGCATACGAACTATTACGCTTCGTGATTACATTCATAATGGCGTGGAAGATATGGACGGACATTACTCTCACGCTGAGTTGGTTTGAGACAGACGACGTTGTCACTAGATTGGAGATTTTGTTCTGCATCTCGTGCCTCATTGGGTGAGTATAACAGAACCCGTTCACTGCAACATGATGGCTAATCTTCATTACTAGCTTTACTACCAACACGACCAATATCTTTATTGATGACCCAGCACATAATACCTACGCACAGCTTGTGTCATTCTATCTCGCTGCGCGGATCTTTACTGCAATATTTTACGGTATAGCGGCTTATCTCCTTCCCATGATCAAAGGTGTCATGATTTCCCAGATAGTCTCTATTATTCTCCCTACCGCTCTGTGGATCGCCAGCATTCATGTCGACATGCCCGGTCGCTTGGGATTCATCATACCAGCCCTGTTTCTCGACTTGTATGGACACATAGGTTTCTTTACATTGTTACGATACAAACAAAATCATGCCCCAGAGAGCAAATGGAAAACACGGTTCGACCGCATGTTTGAGTTTTATCCTGCCATCAGTATCGAGCACAGGGTCGAAAGAATGAATGCTTTTGTCTCTCTGGTTTTTGGATATTCCGTTGTCGCCATTCTCTTCCAAAACCAGGGTGGCTACGATATCAATGCGTTTTTGGGAAAGGCTATTCTGGGTCTAATGCAAGCATTTACTTTCAACTGGGTTTACTTTGATATCGACGGCCGCAACATCAGTCTACATGCAATTCGACGCTCTCCAATCTCTGGTTAGTCCTATTCATATAAGCTCGGGTCTGTGTACTTAAATAGCTAACAACGCAATAGCTGGTCTTTGGGGATTTGCTCATCTACCTTTTGTGATGGGCTACATTGTCGCCACATCAGCTCTATCGAGGCTGGTCCTCGCGACTGACATCCCAGGCACCGATTTGGATCAACTTGCTGAACCTTACAGGGACAGCGCCGAGGATCATTTCAACTCAGGCGTCCGCTTCTTCTACTGCCATGGTCTCGCCATTGCCCTTCTTTGCATGGCAGCCATATCCTTCTCACACGAACACAAGAAGCAACCCACGCTTCGATTGAATAAAAATGTCAGGCTCGCAAATCGTATTGCAGTTTGCATCATCATGTTCTTCCTACCGTTGGCGACTTCACTCCAGTCCCTCAGTCTCATTTCCATCACACTAAGCCTGACAGTATGGGTCTTGGTTGTCGAGCTGTGGGGGAAGTCATGCACAGACGACCCCTTTATTGGGGAAAAGGATGGCTGCTGTATAACGTATTGTGCGAGATGCAAGAAGAATGATGTCGAGGAAATGATTGCTTCTGATGAAACACTTCTACGAGGGGAGCTGTTAGAATTAGACAGAGCAGAGAAGACGGCAATGTGAATTAATTTGACAATATATAGATACCTGGTCCAAATAAATATAGAATAACGTTAATATCAGTCGCTGAACATTTCTTACATTACCACTTGTTACACCGAAAACAACGTCGTCATAAGCTTTCGAGAACACTTTAAACAAAATAACAAGGCGATGTCATAGCAATAGCCTGATGCATCCTCCTCCTATCAACCTCCTTCTTCAGCATCACCAAGCAGCTAGCCACCACCAACACCTCCATCTGCTCCGCATCTCCCTTTATCCCCTCCCACTCCATCAAATTCATCATCAATCTACCTCCATTCCCCGCCGTCGTGATTCTCGTCTCCTTAGACCTGACCTCTGCATTCCTCACCAGTCTTGCCACGGGTATCCTCTTCTCCTCCTGCTTCCCGCCTTCAAGCGCCACTTTGACTATTCGGTCAAGAACCATCAAGTTATCCGCCCCAGCCGCTTTTCTCTCCTCCCGCCCTGCGTAACGCCATTGAAACGTACCGAGGTGCGTGCGGAATACTTGCGCTCTCGTAGTCAAGCCCTTGTTGACAACTTCAAACTCCTCCTCATAGGCCATGAGGCCGCATAGTTCCAGCTTTGGGGGCTTGCCCGGGCCAAAGCGATATGTTGTTCGGCAGATGGGGTCGTTTTCAGAGTCGCCGGCACGGATGAGATTGCTGTTTCCGGAGCCGCGAATTGGACGGAGAGACTGGTAGGCCAGGTCTTTAGCGATGCCCGTGGAGAGATCTACGTGGTATATGGATATGGGAGTCCGTCGGGGCGAATGGGGAAAGGCTAAGAGGGGATGGCCTCGGGCTTCGATCTGAAAGGCTTTCGTGCAGTGAAAGGTTGGTCGGGATGACGATGAAGAGGAAGATGTGCCCTGGGCGCTGAGATGGAGGTCGTTGTATTGAGGGGGAGAAGAGCTGGAGCGTGAAGATGTGGTGGAAAGATTGTCGAGCTCGATGTAGTCGCCGGGTTCATATGCTGGAGGAAGGGAGAATGTTGATGTTAGTGCTGAAGTTTGAGAGAGCTTTCGGTTGTGCAGAAGCACTCTTGTTTGAGTGGCCGACATTGTATGGGTATATGCTGGCAGCAGGCCACTTGGTATAAGTCGAATGAGAATAGTCACGGAACAATCTATTTGGTATAATAATAAAACACGTGTAGAAAAAATAAGTATGTAGTAGAATTTGCATCGAGCAAATACAGCTGCTCTCCCCCATCCAAGTGCAACCCACCGTCTCTATATACACTTTCAATGCCGCGCCCCCAGCAAAGCAATAGTCCAACTAGACATCATCGCCAAGCCAGCAGTCCACAACCAGATTCGCCCAACGCGAGATATACGGCTCCCCAACTCCAAGCTTCGCCCCCCAGCCACCGTCGTCAAAACGCCAGTCACCAGCTCCTAGCAGGAATCGGGCACATGTCCTCCCGCGTGCTGACACGCAACAGCCATCGCAGCGCCTCTTTTCTGGTCTTTTGCGTGGTTCAGCTGCCACAAGATAAGCGGGGCTCTCCATTTCGCATACCGGATATGCAGAATACGATGAATACGGGCCAATCACAAGGGCGGATATAAAATGGAGAATGGCTTCTAGCGCATCCTTTGTGGGGAATGGCTCCAAGCTTGATTGCACTGCTCGGCTCTTTGTTTTGGGCGCCAGAGTTTGTCTCGAAGGAACATTGGAAACCCTGCGTGGCTGTGGGCAGGGCTTCGAAAATGCTGCACTGAAGATGCGTCAATTTTGACTGTAGGGACCGTTATCTCGCTCGGGAGGGGTAAAACATTCCACAACTAAAGTACTACTAATTATGCAGCCGAAGACGATACCACGCCACGGGCATGGTGTAAGTTGCAGATCCTTTGAATATTCTACGGCTGCCCAACAGCCGTATTCCTCGTAACAGTTACTCCTCAAATGCCATACCCGGAGAGCATTTATGGGTATTCAGCCTGTGTACTCTGTGCTTCTTGATGAATATATAAAATCATCTACCATCGTGGTATTTCCAATTAACTACTTGCATGTAACTGCTCTATATCGTTGAGTCAAATTATGGGATACATGTCGCAGAGTAACATCGAAAAAAAGACGCATGTGATCCAATTGCTTCATATCCAAACAAGATATACATCTACCGGCGCTTCCCAAAAAACGTAATGTCGCTATCCAGCTTTTCGTCTACCCACCTTGGCCACTGATTGAACATCTGATGCGCATAATCAACACGTGCATTGAGATGCTTCAGCCAGCGGATGAACCCTGGGTCAATACGGGAATTTTCCTGCCGAGCAGGATGCTTCTCTCGCACTTCGTATTCCTGGTCATTGATGAAGGCCATGATTTGCGACAGGGCTATCCAGTGTGTGTGCAGCAAAATGACGACCTGGTTGTTGGCGTTGATGAGCTCTTGAAATGAATCATGGGGCAGCAGCATCCACCATCCGTATTGCCTTGAATTGGCCTTGTATGCTGCAGCAAAAAGAAACAAAGAAGTACCAACATGTTAGCGAGATGGCCAGAACCAAAGTAAATATAGAGTTCAGCTTACCTTCGAAGGAGTTGGTAAGTAATTGAGAAGAAACATTCATGAGCTGCTCGTGGTATTCAATCTCGACTTGCCGCGTGCAAAGCGGCCCCAGGTTGGTGATCGACTCGACGGCAGCCTCAGCCCACCCCTTTTCAATTAAAGGCAGTCCTTCCATGTATGGCGCCATGACCTCGTCTTGGTTTGACTCAAACAGATTGCTGAAAAGAGGCTTGATGCTCTTGAACATCATTTGCATCCCCACAATGACGATCCCACGAATGAAGGTCATGTATTCGGCTAATCCGTCCTCAAGACTGACCGATTGGAAAGTCAGTGCGAAACAGGTAGCTACCAGAGCGTTGGCTTCCTCGTAGGTCGTCTCCATCTTGGATGCGTCTGTTAAGCGTTTCTTGATAGCCTTGATCGCTTTAATGCGGTGATTCATGGCCACCGGTGCAAGGCTGCTGTCTGTGACCATCAACTCCGAGGCCGCATACCCAAGGATCGCATGCATAAGAAATTCGTGCTGTCAAAAATATGTCAGCTATATCAACCCGCAGCTAAAAAGTACTGGCCTTCAAGCACGACGTCAAGGGAACATCCAACGTACATTGTGAGCTATGCTAGGAATCTCGTGCGTCCAAATCTCTTCTTGCTTCAATGGGTGGTGAGGGTAGCACTGGGTCAGAAAGTGCTGGAAGCATCGCATATCTTGCAGACTAAATAGTGGTATCTGATTGTGCGGCTACCTCAATGTCAGCTAGATTCAAGACCAGAGGATGGCTGTATAATGATGAAGCATTCGCTCTCACACTGGTTAGAACGTACCTGGTGTATAATCTGCGGTGAAGCCGGGTACTCGCAATTCAATCCCGTTTTGGCGCAGTTGCCACATGCCGGGTGTGTTTCTTGACACTATGATGGGCGTTCAACATGAGTTGCCTACTCTCTCTACTTGACTCCTAAGGAATGTGACGATGTATACCTTGATGCGCCGCCTCTTGCAGTTGTAGCATCCCCTACGGCTCTTGGTATGGCCTCGCCTCTCCAGCCGCTGTCTTTGCTGCATCGACGTCCGGCGAAGGCTCAGCTCGAGGTTGCTATTACTGGGCAGGCTCCTGGAGCTGGCATACGGAGGCGTGTGAATCCCTCCTGACGATTCCGACAGGGTCGAATAGCCCTGCACGCCGTCGACAAAGCCCGCATCGGGCTGCAGATAGGCGGTGTAATCAAAGTCGGACGAATCAGGGAACGACATGATGTCGTCCTCAAAGGGATGAGAGCTCATGGCAGGCGATACTGGAAGGGCGCGTGTCGCTCTTCAAACCAGGCTGTATGCAGGCTCGGGTGTGGTCACTGGGTGACTCTTGACGGCCCCACGTTACGGAGCGCATATGGCAATGGCAACGGGGCGTGATTGGTGGGCAGCTGCAGTTGAACAATTCTAGTCGTGACAGTGGGATGCTGCAAAATGTCAAGGAGTCGATATGGAGTGAATTTGTTGACTAACTGCTCTATAGAATGCGACGGGCCTATATTTTTAGGCGCCGTGGAACGGAGCACCTTTCCTCCGCAACCAACCTTGTATGCATCACCTCGTGCTCCTTGCAAATACAGCTAAAGGCGCTCTCAATCCCACCATTAATGAGGCCATCAAGAGGCCTGAAGCCTCGCTTTGGTCAGCTGGCCGCCTTAGCAGACAACTTGCACCATCTAGATTCTGCCACAATGCTAGCAATTGTCTCTAATTTACTTCTGGGGTGTAGCATGCCTTGGGCGCTTGCGACAATTTGGGAACCGAAGGGGCAAGCCGCAGCATCACTTTCAATCGTATCCTTCGCCGAACATTGACTACCATAATTTCATGAGCTACGAACAATCCAGGCAGCTACTAAGCTTCCAGAAGGCATCGCTGCCGTGCTAGCGGCTCAATCAACCGGCCTACCTCTGTAGAACCCCACGATTTTCCATTGGTTATAGGGTAAGCATACATGAAAGCTCGGTGAGCGAATCGAGCGAATCGAGGTGCAACACCATGAGTGAATACTATAGAACAGGTGTAAGGCGTGGCGTTATAGTTGAGCATTATGATTCTCTTGCTTCTGGTGACGAGGTAATTGCAGCATAAAGTCGTTGGCTCGGTCAATTTGACCCCGATGAGGATCGACGAGATTACTTGAGGCTCTCTTGCGCTTCCGGCTACTCGGCACAAGAACTAGGAGTTGACGGGTAGTAGTTTGATGACATGGATCATTTATGCTACTAGTAGGCAGCAAGATGAATGAGTACGCGTAAGCGTGTTATAACAAACAGTGCTGTTACCGGAAGCTAGCCAGAATAATAAGAAAGACATGAACACCGCTGTTAAATACTTCTTGGTTGTATCGTGAGTTGTCATAAAAGGTTTCAATCTGTAAACTTCCATGCCCTTTTCCCAAATTCCAACGCCTGCTGAGCACAGATACTCACTAGTATGTAGATATATATAGAATTCAACAGAAATAGAACCTGGAGAGCACAGCTTTGATCGCCCCCAGGGCTCACACGCGCCATTGCCTCTACGGCTTACAGTAGCCGCATTCCACAGGTCGGTAATAGTAACCGATCGTAGGGGCTGGCGTGAACTGCCTACGAACAGAGATAGGAAACTAAAATGCGTCCCTGCGCGAAACGTCTGCGCAGACCTTCCAAGAGTGGTTGGTCCAACGAATAAGGAAAAGAAGAATGTGGACGTGGGCCTGATTGAGATGGCCCGCGTTCAAGGGCACGATGCTAATAAACTGGATACAACAACGAGCTGCATGTACATACGATGGTGGCGTTTGTCAAGGTTGGAATACGCCTCCAGCATCATGATGGATTAATATATAGGGTTCTTACGAATACCTTTCACTTGGCCAGCGTCTGCTGGCTCGCAATCTCCGAACGTTGCGGCTATTTATGAATAGCACTCATATTATGATACATCACCCAAACTCCAGGTGATGGAAACATAATCATATAGGCGCTGCGGGGAGTCTATAAATTGAAGTCCCAACTGAAACGCTCAATAGTAGTGTCCGATTAGATGGACAGATAAGTGGCATCGCCAATTTACAGGAACGATGGCAGGACCAGCCGCTCCACACCAGCGCTGAGAGCCAATCGGCCCATTGGTTGACCAGATAGACGCCGGTGACCGAATGTGCGTATATACTCCGTTTGAAAATGTTCGTATATAACGGAGCTCATACTGTAGCAATTTAGGCCTACCACATGCAGCTGCGGATGTCCGGGGCGTCCATGATTGGCCCAGGGTTTGATGTGCCGGGTATCCTTGTCCCCTGCCGCTGAAAAAGCGAGGGCATTGAATAGGCATGGGGGAAATCATGTTGGCGATGGCTTGGTCAGAGGCCCAGCCTCCAGGTCTAATATAAGAACGAGAGGGCTGGAAAGGGGCAAGCAATTTGACATATCGCGCCATCGGTTGACTGCTACCATTTGGGCTCCAAGCACGGAGCGCGTGGAGTTCTGTCCTGCCTGCGGAGTATTTGTGCCTGGATCCAACGGGTTCAGCTTGTATGAAGCATGCAGTACTCGTACTGTAGCCAAGGCCTCTAGGACTACATGTACCTAGTAGATAGACTCAATTCTAGATATTGCCTGCACGCCTCCTTTTCAAGCCCTTGAACGCTGCTTTGTCGTATGTTACTAATCCAGCGTCTACGCGCTGGAGAATTGTTCTCTGAACACTTTCTAAACAAACCCTTACTTTGAGAAACTGAATGCCAGACAATCTGTCTTACTAGAAACAACCATTTCACGGTGGCTCAAGCCCTTAAAAAACCAAAGATATGGCACACAGGACTCGAAAGTTCGAGAAGCCGTTTGCTGCCTGATCCTTGCAACTCTCTGCGTGCGCGGCTGCCAAGAAGCAGGAGGCAAAAAAAGACACCGCCATCTTGGCATCTCGGATGAGCTAGCGGTTGGCACGACCGAGCGAGCCAACGTGGCCAGGGGTGGGGGGTTTGGCACGCCTCTCGGCTTAAAAAAAGAATTTTGAACAAAGAAGAGACAGGGGTCAAGTCGGCGTCGGTGTCGGTGCCGTTAGTTAAAGCGCTGCATATCGATCTAAGCCCTTTTGACGGACGGATGGGCCTCGAGTCTTTTTTTCCCTCTTGTTTCATGTTATATAGTGGCGTGAAAAGCTAATGAATGTGCGCAATGGACGGCAGACATGTGAAGCTGCCGGATTGGAGCCACGTCAGTTCCATGTTGGATAGCTGCAGAGATAGAGCTGCAACTCTGCGCTACCACACACGATAAGACACGGATGGAAAGCGTTTAAAAGAAGCAGCCCTCACAATAATGGTTTACTTGTGCTCTGCGAGACATTTGGAATCCGGTGGACAATGGGCCAGGCAAATCGATGAGATTGTGTGCGGAGAATGGTATTCCATGCCTTTATGTATACGGAGTACTCCGTGTCCCCATATCCGGCTTTTTGTTCTAATAGGGGCACATGAATCGGTGCCGCGCCTCCGAGTATTGTCTTGCCCTGCATTCCAAATCCCGGCCACTTCTCGTTTGGTGAGCATGAAACTGATAGCCTGGCATTGTGTACCCTCCTTTGGACATGGGATGAACGGATTTGCTTGGGAGCTCCCAGGACGGCGGCAGCTCTCCAAGGGTTCCATATGGTTTTCTCGTATAAAGCTAAATGACCAGACTGGGCATGTTTATAAGGTATAGCTGCCAAGACGACGACTCCATCAAGATCTCAGCATCTGGGCAAAGATGGTCATAAGATTTGACTGCGATTAGAAATAAAATATGAAAAAAGTAATGAGCGACACAGACTCGTATTCTGTCGATCTCGCTGTATGTGTGTGGATGGGTTCATGCCATGTGTCTTACAGGCAGAGTCGTAATCCACTTTGAGATCATCTATCATGCAGCTACATGAGAAATATAGTATCGAGTCTCTCTTCTTCATTCTTATTCCTCGAATCTAATTTGTCCGAGGAGAAAAAGGTTAAATGCCTCGTCAGCACCGATCCGTACGAGCACGACCGCTGCTGTCCTGCATCAGGGTTATTGCTGCATGCTCATACCACAGTTTTATACAGTGTGCATCCGAGAAGAAACAGAACCTTGAAGCTCCAGCTGGTGTAGCCGAGCCCACATGGCTCCCAGCAAAATGCTTGGCCCATTACTTAAAATTGCTGCTAAAACATGCAAACGCAAAAGAGCATGCTCCATACCGTGTTAACAAGCAACGAAATAAAAGCAAAGCAAAGGAAAAAGAAGGAAAAAAGCCCTCAGCCCCTTCGCAAACAGGATTCAGGGCCGCGTACGGGCATATGCAGAGGCCGTTTCACCTTGACTAGGCTTGTGGGCGCCGTCGACGGCGATTGGGCACAGGCGGGCCGGGCTCGCCCACCGCGGCGGCCTCGAGCGGCTGGAGTCGCTGCTCGACCAACCGGAAGCCTGTGCCTGGCGCGCATTGGCCAATCAGTGCAGCCGCACCTGGCGCTGTGCCTTGGCGGGGGCGACTCCCCAAAACGCTCCAGTCCCCAAGCAGCCCCCCATAGAGGTCCCTCAAGCTCCTCTGCAAGACTCCATCGGGTGCTGAGCGTGCCTGAGAGCGTCCCCGTAGCCCCTGGCGCTAGGCGAGGCTTTGGCCGGCACTAGGAGCGCTAGGCTAAAGCCAAGTTGGGTTTGACGGACCACATGTTGGGATAAGCAAGAGGGAGCTTTTTTTTACTTTTTCTTCAATTCCTTGCCCTTTTGAGTTTCTCTTTTGCTTCCCCGTTTCCGGCTTGTACTGTAGTACGGATAGCAATGTTTCTACTGTATTGGGGCTGCGGCCCAAAAAATGTGTAAGTTTTGGGTATCGCTTGCACAGTGATGTCCGGAGCTTGGAGAGGGGCTGGCAGTGGTACAATATTGAATGCCCCAGACGACATTGTGTCTCCCTCCAAGGGGATGACGCAGCAGCAGCAGCTGCTACATTGTTAGCAGAGGTATGCAATATATTGCTGGCCGTGCTACTACAGGATCACTATCCAAACAGGATTCGGGATGCCTGAGTAGTTATTGCTTTGTAGATTACTACTAAGCACCAGTGCCTGAACAACACGAGCACAGGTCCAACCACGACTGTGTGGGACTCAATGTAATCCATACAGGCTAGCATCTGCTGCTAAGCTTTGACATGTACTACCGGACTGCTCTTGGGCATGAACAAGCAGCACACGACTTTAAGTTTGTACACGCCTTGCCCATGAGCAATTCTCGTGGCCTTCAGCAGTGGCTTCAGTGTTCATCTTTGCCAAGCGCGGCACCATCCACGGCATTGCAGACGCAGCACCACCAGCCACCAGTCACCAGCCACCAGCCATGGAACCATGCCGAGGGAGGTCCAGCAGGCAGTTGAACTGTGTTCAGGCACGCTGATGCTAGCGTCAGCAGGCCCCATCGCATCCAGGGCGCCGTCTGCCCACTGCAAAACTTGCACGATAGCGCTGTGCAGGGGGGGCCATACCCACCCTCGACCAACAGGGATCCCTGCCCTGGCGCTGTACCTTGCATCGGGCCCTGCACCAGCCCTGTATCTGCGGCTTCCACTTGCCGGGTACTTCAGGCCCCTCTCATCCCCAGCTCATCTCTTCCTTTCTCCTTCTTTTCACCTTCAAACGCTTTCCATTCCCTGGCACTTTCGTCAGCTCGTCTTTCATTTATCTTCTCCGTCGCCAGTTCGACTTCTTCTTTTGAATCAGCAAGGCTGTTCACTCTTTACACTGCGTCTTTGATAGACCGATTGCACTCTTTACCGGCCGCGCCGACCTGCCTTGCATTGCAAAAGCATCAATAAGTCCAACTCGACTTTCTCTCACAATCCTTTACTCCAACGTTTGAAATCGATACATCACTCCCGTCAAAATCTAGACAAAATGTACAAGGCCGTTGCCCTCACCTCCATCGCTGCCCTCGCGGGTCAGTCCATGGCCCTCAACGCCCATCGCCACCAGCACCAGATGGACAAGAAGGCTCTCGTCGTCGACTGGACCACTGTCATCGACACCGTCTATGTCACCGTTGACCCCAACGCGTCCACTCCCGCTCCTGCTGCTCCCACCTCTGCTGCTGGTGGCTTCGCCGCTCAGGATGTTCCCAACCCCACTGGCCCGGCCGCTGGAAACGCCGCTGCTGGAAGCAGCTCTGTCGCCGTTGCTTCGTCTTCTGCGGCTCCCGCTGCCCAGGCCACCACTCTGGTCACCTCTGTTCGCCCGTCCGTCCCCGCCGTCGTGAGCAGCAGCGTCGCACCCGTTGTGCCTTCATCTGCTCCGGTGTCCTCTGCCCCGGCTCCTCCCACCACCTCTGAGCAGCCTACTCCCACTCCCACTCCTTCTCCCAGCTCCGCGCCCGCTCCTGTTTCCAGCTCAACTTCCCAGGCTGCTCCCTCTGCTACTCCTAGCAAGGCCCCCAGCTCAGCTCCTGTCAGCGCTGGTCACTTTGGTCGTGGTATGGCTTACAACGATGGTCTCCTGGCCAACGTTTACGGTGCCCTGTCTGGCAAGATGGGCTGGGCCTACAACTGGGGCTTCTACCCCTCTGGAATCGACAGCCAGTTCAGCTATATCCCTACTCTCTGGAGCCCCGCTCCCCAGCACTCTGATGGCTTCGATGATCAGGTTGAGACTCTCCTCTCCTCTGGAACCAAGGCCATTTTCAGCTTCAACGAGCCCGATATTGCCAGCCAGGCCAACATGTCTCCTAGCGACGCTGCTTCTGCTCACCAGCAGTGGCTGAACAAGTACTCTGGCAGAGCTCTGGTTGGCGCTCCTGCTGTTTCCAACTCCGGATCGCCTGGCCAGGGTGCCGATTGGCTCAAGCAGTGGGTTGAGGCTTGCGCCGGTAACTGCAACTTCGACTTCGTCAACATGCACTGGTACTCTCCTGCCTCTGCCATCGACACCTTCTTCTCCCAGATTGAAGCTGTCAGCCAGGCCGGCGGTGGCAAGCCTGTCATGATCACTGAGTTCCAGCCTTCTGGCTCTGTTGATGAGATCACTGCTTTCTTGAAGGAGGCTCTGCCCAAGCTGGATTCCAACCCCAACGTCTTGGGTTACTCCTACTTCATGGTTGCCAACTCTGGCAGCGCTGATGGCTTGAACCTGATGGCCTCAGCCTCCGCTGCCAGCAGCATCGGTCTCACCTACGCCTCCACTTAAGCAAGTGGCTGAGATAGCATCTTTTCGCTTCCTAGGTATCACAGTACCTCGCTAGAGATTTATCTCGACACATCTTTAGCCAAAATTTCGGTCATAGCTTATTTATTGCAAGGAGGGGACATATGGTGTAAACACAGCAGATACAAAAACATACTGAATGGCATCAAGGGGAAAGGCGCAACTCAAGTTCACCTGTACATATTTTTAACTACCTGGTTCTTGGATGTCAACATCCGCGATATCAGTACATTTTGATTCGCAATTTTTTTTTGTTTGTTCAAAGAGGGGAAAGAGAGTGTGATCCCAGATAATTCCTGCCCTAAGTCACTTTTGGGTGGCCCATTCCGTCTATATTTCTCTTTTTATATCAATATTCACATGAGACAAAGGATAGAAATGTTGACGGAAAAAGCATGAAAGATCTGGTATGTATCTCACGTATAGAAATAGGGTCGTGGACAAGACTTTAGCATAGAACTACGAGCTACGAATTCAATAAAGGTCTTGCGATCTACTCTCTTTGCGCACAAGCTTTAGTAATCTCTCGTGTTTACTGTGAAACTGTGATATGCTTTTCTTATCCTACTAAGCCAGATATATATATTGACTTTGCCTACTGTTATCTGGGCTGTATTGCAACTATGTATTATGCTGTAAAGCAAAAGGTAATGTCAATTGGCTCAATAACTACTATTCATTAGGTAACACTTAGCATTGTTCTCAAAGGGAAAAAGATTGACAGTGACAAGCATCGACTTTTGTTTGATCGGAGCCCTCCAAAGAATGCGACCGCCCGGCAGTAATCTTGGTCTCCAGCGGGAAATATCTTTCATCTATCGCGCCAGATGTCAATGATGTCAGGCACTCGCTTCCATAAGTTGTGGAGGATTTGATGTGTAGTCCGGGAAAGTGATTTGGATTAGGCCTGACCTCTCGTTTGATTGTTGTCGTTACCGTGACGGCATTGGAGGGGTTTTTGATCATCTTGGCAGCGTCGCCATCAGGGGTGTCGTGCTCATAAGGATCATCACGATCGCCATCGCGGGATCGACGCTTGGTTGGCACGAGCGATATATCGGCCAATGTCGATGATAGCGTCTCTTGAAATTCGCTTGGCGTTGATATTCGATTTGCCCCTGAGCCGAGATCTTGCGATCGTCTGGGTTCCTCGGATGAGTTGACGCTTGCTGTCCCGGCGTTATCCCTGGATGTCACCCATTGGATGACAATTACAGAAAACAGGACTATCAACAGGGCAAGATTTAGCTATGAGATCGCCAGGCAAGGATATAAACGAGTCACTCACTGTCACAGTTGCAGCTCATCAAGCAGATCCATCCAGGTTCTCCCTTACGGGCCATTAACACAGAGAGATTGCTAAAAATCATTCATCAGCCGACTTGTATCAAAGAAAGAACTCTCTTAAAAGCCTTCGCAAATTAAGTCTTACACAATGCTGCTTACTAGTGTGCAGACAGTGCCGCAGAATGTTCGGAATGCCACTGTCCGAAGACGGATGTTGGCGCGTGTTCTCGCCATGTTGGTATAAGAGTACAGTCCTGGCAGACGTCAGTGAGTACCATCTCTGCTGCCGCTTCCAAATGATGCAGATAAATTTACTCTTCAAAGGTATAAGAAACATAATTGTCAGGTACACATTGATCAACGCATCGAAAGAGATGAGAGGAATCATTGAGATCTTTTCCATCCCTATTATGCATTCTCCATTGTTCATTTTTGCAATGCGGCTGTTTGACTAGTCAGTTAATGCCATTTGATAGCTTTTCATATACTGAACTTACTAGACAAAATTTAATATGACCACTCCTATGTATATGGTGAGCATTCCCAGCGAATTTACCAGATACAGAGTGGATTTCATGCGAGGCTTTGTTGCACCGCGAATGATATACTGTATCGTAGTGTTAGCAGAATCTCGGAGGGGGGCATTGACTCGATTTGCACTTACAGCCTTCTCAACGAGAAACAAATAGATAAACTAAGATGGTTAGCATGGTGCATAACCCGGCATTAAACGATATCAAGTATTGGGTACTGACAATCTACCAAGAGGACCATATTAGCAAGAGAGAGGAAGGTTGGTAAGATTCTGAGCACAAATATCACCTTGGTGGTAACGTAGCATGCCAAGCACAGTATAATTTCTGTTTCGCAAATACCGAAGCTAGAATTGACTCCAAGTGAGTGCTGTAAAATCGCAGTGGCAACAACGAATATGTACGAGTCAACATATATGGCAAACACCACTGGAAATGCAACATTAGTTCCATTTCTTACTTAAATTAAGCATAATTATGACGACTGACACCAAACTACAGGCGGCAACAGGCGCCAAAACTTGATTGCCAGGACTCTTTGTGCTAGCATGTTCATCGCAGTTAGCTTCGTAGGTGATTGGAATATCGGATGGTGATCTCACTCAAGAATAAAGTTAGGATAGTGACTGCCGTCAAAGCCAGTATGACACTGAAGACTTGTCCTCCGAGCGGCACTTTAGCCCCTTCATGCCGCGAAACAATTGCCGGAGCCATGGCGCTGTGACGAATGGCCTCGATGAAAGTCGACTGTCCTCTGACTAAACGGGTCGGAGTCCCTCTCAAGTTCCCTATCCAAGAAACCCGTAGCGTTTGATGAGAGGGCAGAGCCACTCAGAAGACGGACTTAGTGCGAATCATGATGTGAAAGGTGGCGATGGAGTCGAGAATAGAGGAATTACAGCGGCTGGCTGTTGATAGGACGGCAAAAATTGCGGGATTAGGATAGCAGTTTCTTTTTACAAGGATGAGGAAGAAAGGATTTGAAGAGATTGTATGGTATAAGCAGAGGAGAGACCATGAGAAGATGTGTATCATTACTTTGATTGTATTTTTTGAGCTGGTAAGAACTCACGACAAGAAAATGTTGGGGCAGGCGGTATCTGCCCTCGTTTTCCCTCTTCGAGAAAGAGGATATCTCGGCACACGCCCGTCTTGTCTCAAACTGGCAAGGGGAATTGTACATGATCTCTCAATATAGGTATACATACCTAGTACTTTCTGCACATTTGCCGAGCACCTAGTAAAACTTGGACAAGCATACCGCGCAACTTTGTTCAGCTTTCGAGATTCTAGCCCTTTTGGCTCTACAATGGCGATATTTGTTCAAAGACATCCTAGTGCTGCCTGACATTTCTAGAAGAGGCTGGATTCTATTTCTCCGCGATCAATACCACTTTCATGACACTCATCAATCTCAGCTTTCACAACTGTTGTCAGAGAAGGAATCGTCGCCGCCAAATATCAGATATTGCGCATCGTAACACGGAGCATACATCAAAATGCCCACCATATCATGCTACGCTTTCAATAACTCCAAATAGTTCAATTCGGTCACACGTCACTGCACCTGGAAAGACTTGTATGAGACAAGCATGTCGCTTCGACAACAAGCATCTCTGTATCATCAGCCACCGGCACAATCACTCGATTGCCTCATTTCTTTTACGCCTACTAGTGCCGGCAATTCTAACCAAGTCACATATTGTAGCTGATTTAGTTGGTTAACTAGCGGAAAGTTTTGTTTCACGCCTTGATGTGTATTTCAATCGCCGTCGTGTTCCTCATGATTAACTTGCATCGCACGTCCAATGAAAACAAAAGAGATGCCTATCCCCAACGCCCATGTAAGCCACCATTTGCTGGAAAGCAGCTGAAATAAAAAGTAGCCTTAAAAATAGAAAAGAGATGTTTGCAGATGCCAAAAAACGCCGTGCGATGCTTCCATGAATCCCCTCGTCATTTCTGCCTAGTAGAGTTCAAGTGTTGCCCCCAAGCGCCGAAGTCGTAGTACTGTCAAATAGACAATTCTACCAAGATGTAGCGATCGAAAATGATGTAGGATGCAGCCGTAGAGGGGAAAATCCGGCCGTGTGTATATACAGTGGCCAATAAAAGCCGCTGGTACGATAAAAAGTTCAAAATGACTGTGTGGCTTTGACGTGGATAAATGGTGGTTGAGAGAGATGACGAGTAAAAATGACGTCTTCAGCTATCCCGACGCTCAGGAGATCGAGCCCTGGTTCGAATTCGGAATTTCTCCTTGAGTTTGGCTGATAAGTGAGCCCGCTGTCCTCTTTCGCCCTCTGCATCATGGCTGGCGCTGGCGCTGGCGCTGGCGTCACCGCTTGCACCAAGAGCTTCGGTATCGTTCTGGCGAGTCGATCGCATCTGTCGAAGAGCTTCGATTTGTTCTTCCGTTGTTGCTTGCCTCAGCCTGTTGATATCGAAAAACCGTGAAATCCTATTGCGGTGATGGGGCTGGTTGCCTTCGCCATCCTCACCCTCCACAATCAATGGAGGTGGCAGTGTAGAGGTTCTATCAGTGGCCGGTCTATCGCTATTCTCAGCAGCATCAGGACGAAGATCGAGGCGGCTAGTTCAGGTGGCATTAGTACTGAGAAAAGAAACAATGCAGAGGTGCACGTTCAACTTACCACAAGGGACATGTTCCGGACACATTGAGAAGCCAAGGATCAATACAATTTGGGTGGAACTGGTGGTTACAAGGCAGAACCCTCATATCCTCACCTTCCTTGAAGTCCTCTGTACAAATCGAACATCCTACGTTCCCAGCTGGTTTGGTACCACCGTCGGCAGCACCATGGGCCTCAGCTACTGGAGCCGTTTCTTTGGTCTCGCTACCACCCGTGGCGGCCGTAGCTGCTTCGGGTCGTGCATCCTCCGTAAGGATTGAAGCCGATTTCTGAGTTCGAGTGTCACGCCCATCAGTAGTTGCCGAGTCTAGTTCGAGCTCAGGATCCGGCTTAGCGGATTCCTGGTTGTTGAATTTGACAATGGGAAGGGTCTCGAGAACTGCGCGAGCCAGTCCCTTGGCTCGGCTCTGTCGAGGCCGGCCGCCTAGGGCTCTCCGAGGTCCGTATCGTTCCGGATATCGATGCGCTCTTATGGCGCCCGTGGCAATAATGACAAGAAACAGAAGAG